TTGGCTTAATCACAAGTACTAACCCTGCAGTAAAACCAAATGACACTTGTTTCAGAAAGTTTCCGATGAACAGCACCCCATTCTGTTATTTCTTAACATCACGCTTAATAACATCCTAACATAGTGTTTTTAAAAAACAGTGATCTAACTCTGCATCTGGATATACATTTTACAATTTAAAAACATTGTAGTGCCATCTTTTTAAATAAACATTTGAATGACATGTTAATATGAGGGATAAGTCAGTGTTAGATAATATTAAAAGCTAATAAAGTTAGTGAACAAAGGCAATGTAAACTGGCACAGTATTCACATAATTAGTGCATTAACATTGACAGCTGCTCTTCACAGGGCACTGTGACAGTACAACAATTACAAACATGTGATTCATTCAGAAGTTGTTCAGCAGAACCTCAGAATGTTAACCTTAAGACAGTTTCATTACAGTTTAAGCTTTGCACAAACAAGTTATTTTTATCACGCGTGTATGAAGTTCATGTAGACAAACAAAATGTAACAGAACAGTATTTTTTTTGTAGTGTTTATGTAGCTTTTTGGCATCCAGGATACACTTCTTTTAATCTAAAGGTAAGAGTGATCATTTATGTGAAGTTATCAATTCTTGGAACTTTTTAAACTTGTAGCTGTGGAGTTGGTCCATTGGACACATAGGCAGGTTACAAGCTAAGTAAAGTTAAGTCGCCCTCATCAGTTAAACATTGAGATAAGCCACATAGTCGGTTAAGGTTTCTTTCACTGTTTTTGGCTGCAAATAACTTCATTTTTTTCTTTCTACAATACTAAGCTGAATACAGTGTTCGGCAGTGTTTTAGTGAGCCTCCTTTAAAGGAAATCTCATCCTTCATTAGTACTTCAGGCTTCTTTGACTGGATCCCATCTTCTATAATCAGCACTTTAGAGACCCGGAGTGACTGACTGAATTCTTGAAGCTATCACTCTGGGGGCTGTAAATAGCTCTCATATTTATTAACTTCCATCAATCATACTGTATTAGTCTGATCAGTGGTGAACTCTATGATATCAACTTCTCTTCCCCTATTGCCCCTGCGTCAGGACGGGAATGTCGATTTCTATGGCAGACATGCGAGAGCGGGAAGAGTAGCGATGGCCTGCGTAGCTAGATGCGTAGCCTTGAGAAGGGGCGTAGCTTTGTGAGGGTGCGTAACTCTGTGATGGTGCATAACTCTGTGATGGTGCATAACTCTGTGAGGGAGCATAGCTGTAGGCCTGGGTTCCCCCCACCTCTGAACCATACCCATCAGGAGCAGAAATCTGAGACATGTACACCTGCGGTGGTGCAGGGGCTATCACACTTTGTGAGTAGCCCTGGGAGGGCACATAAGGTTGAGTGTCATCACAGTGGGAGGAAATGTTTGTGCAGGAATGGCTGAGGACCATACACTGGGGATGGAGGATATCCGTTGGCAGTGAGAGGCTGGGTGGACAGAGAGGTGGGCATAGTCTGCAGTGGCAACCAGAAAGGGGAAGGCAACTTTTTACACATACAGTACCACATGAACATCAGCAGGGAGGCCAGCATTAGTCCCCCAGAGCAGCCAATGGATACATACACAGCAAAGCCATCAGAGAAAATGTTGTCATATCTGATGTTCATTTCCTTGGTACGGAACAGGAACCAGACTGAGGGTGCCAAAGCTATAGCACCTCCCAGAAACAAGAACGTCCCAGCAACCAGGTGACAGCCTGCACTGTTGACTAGGAATCTGGTGGTCTTGATGTCCGGTTCAGGCTTCTCTGAACAGCAGCATGTCTTACACATTCCTGACATGCACAGCAGCAAGGCCAGAGAGCCGAGTAGCAGACCTGTCGGCAAACAAAACTGCAGGAGCCTAAGATCCAGCTGGTCCACTTTAGAGTACCACTAGAAAAACAAGAGGACATGTTTTCTGTTTTAGGACATAGAAAGAAAAAAGCAAAAGGACTGAGAGAACAAGTTTCCTTAAGAAATACCTCTGAATCATAGTAGTAACATCCTGAATAGCCATCCTGTTTCACACATTTAGCCCACAGCCCGTCATACACGCTGATATTCTTGGCATTGCGATTGAAGGTGACGAGTCTGGTTACTCGCCACTGTGGGATTAACGATGCCACAGCAATCCCTCCCACACACACAAAGGCAATGATGAAGGCAAACGCGTTGGTGGCGTGGATGTCTCGGCACGACATGGTGGATGTTTACAGGAACAAAGGCCAAGTTGAGAGTTCCTGTTTGAGAAGATGAGGACAGAAAGTGAGACCAGTGATTGGTCAGTTTAGTCCAAAGTGAAAGGTCTATGATGTGACTTAATAAATATTATTATACACACAGGAACTCCTGATATTTAGAAAAACTGTTCTTTTTTTTAACTGGTGGTTAAATAAGTTTCTTCAAATGGCCCAATTATTATTCAAGTATACTAACTGTGCCACAGACTGACCTAGCTATGGGCAACCCCCCTGTATTTCTATTCACCACAGTATAGTTGACCCAATATCTGCTGTCTCTGAGAAACAATGCTCTCATTTTATTAGCAAACAAAGTAGGAGTGACTTGGGGCCTGATGTTGCAAGGAAAAGTGTCCATTCTGCAGCACTTTGCTTAGACTGTACAGACTAAACAGTAATCTATTGAATTAACGGCTTGAGGTTCCTTTAAATTACAGCATGCAGAAGTGACATAATAAGTCCTGACTTATCTTCTATCATCCATTTAGATAATTTGCATTGGTTGAATTTAGACTCGGGCTAAAAAAAACACTCCATCACATTCAGCTAAGAAATAAAACAATTTAGCTGGACTTTGATCCATGCAAAACAACAAGCTCAGACCATCCTGGCACCATTCAGAGTTGGTTTACGGTGTACTAAGTACTGTAATGCACTTCTTAGGCTGCACGTTTTTTTCTAATCATTCCTGGTCCAGTAAGTAAAGATGAGGTTCTTATAGCTGTATAATAAAATGAAGTAATAGTATCTTAGTTCAAAAATAAAGGAGAGCAGACCTTAGCAGTTTGGGCCAGAAGGGACTGAAGTGTCTGCAACAAATTATTTACGAAATAATTTTATGATACTGAACCTAAGTTGAGTTGTCTAACATATATAACTGTATATATATGTTTTTATCTCATTCCTCTCTTAAAGTATTTTGTATGTGGTCATCGTGATAATGACGTCATGGTCCAATTTAAAAATAGGCTGATAGTAAACATAGCAGACCGTGTGGGTGTATCAAACACACAGCCCTTAACTATACTGACATTTAGTGATAAACATTACTCATTAACAGAGAGATAATTTAGAAACAAGATATTACATCCACTTAGCAGATAAAGTTAGACTCCTCTAATGTTTACATGCTAAACTACCTTCCTGTTTCGTTAGCTCCTCAGTCCTATGAGCACGTCTAAAAACAAAGATTATCTTATTAGAGCTGCATGTATCAACAACCCAAATTCTGAAATATCCACACTAAATGTAAGGTTATTATTTGAGGCGAGTGTAACTTAAGAATACACCAACTAACAATGTCCCAACGATACCGTTAGCTTGTGGCTAATGTGTTAGCATTTAAGCAACCTGTTGCTACCCGAAACTCAAACTCGACAAAAATGGGTTACAAATGGACTTCAATACCTTTAAATTCCAGCAGTTCAATCGTGTTTAGATCACGTTTAACATGGCACTTCTTTACACGCTTGGAGACGAAGCAACCCAGAAACTTTTTCACAAAATGACAGTAGATAGTGCCGTACACAGGATGTGGCCTCATAGCAAGTGTTTCGGCTGCCCTCCGTGTAGTCTCACAGGTGGTTCACGCATGCGTGGGCGAGATCAAGTACTTGTTCCCCAATGGTTATTCCCTGCATACACTCGGAGCCTTGAATCCACGTGGGTGGTAATAATTGTCGTTGAAAAAAAATAAAAGTAGGTTATAAAAAAATCGCACAAAAGGAACTAGTTGTACAAAAATAATACATTTTCTAACAGTAGACCTATAATGAAAACATACATGTTGGTCAGAATAGAATGTCTTTATTGTCATTATACAATTGTACAACGACATTTTTTGGCTTCACCTTAAGTGCACACACATACAAGCATCCACAGCTAAAAAAAAAACAAAAGAAGAAATTAAAAAAAGGAACTCTCATTCAGGTAAGATGAGCAATGTATGGTGGGAGTTATTTACAGGTAGTAACATAACAGAATACAAATAGATATTGCAGAAATATAAAATAAATATTGCCCAGTATGAAATGTAAAATATTGCAGAAATACAAAATAAATATTGCACAGTATGAAATGTAAAATATTGCAGAAATATAAAATAAATATTGCACAGTATGAAATGTGAAATATTGCAGAAATATAAAATAAATATTGCACAGTATGTGTGGTGAGGGCGGGACGGTCAACGCATGTCCAGGTTCAGTGTGGTTATGGCTCTGGGGAAGAAGCTGTGCTTGAGTCTGTTTGTCCGTGCTCTGACAGACCTGTAGCGTCTGCCAGAGGGCAACATGTTGAACAGATGAAAGCCGGGGTGTGAGCTGTCCTTTACAATGTTTTTTGCTCTGTTCAGACAAGAGGAGTTATAAATGTCCTTAAATGAGTGTGCAGCCGATGATCTTTTGTGCTGTGTTGGTGCTGGTCTCTATGGACTTTCATTAGCATCCAAGTTTAATTTTGGTTGCAGAATGTAATTCGTGTTTTTCAAAAACCCTTGTAAAGGTACATTTTTCATAGAAGCTATATTGATACTATGTGTTTAAGTCAAGTATTTGTCTGATGTTTCATCTCCTTTGCTTTGACAGCTGTGAAGGTTTTGAAGTAGAAATAAGGAATAAAACAAACACCAGCACATGTTCCATTCAGATGTTACCTACGTTGAACTCCAACACAGCAGCCCTGACTCCAGTCCACACATCAGACACTTTAAAGGGAGTTGTGATTTAATTTACAGTTTTTGTGTCTTTCAGGGGGATGTCCGCATTCACATGATCTATAAATCTGCAGGCCAAGAGGGATTAAATGACCTCCTCAATGGTAAGATATAGACTGAAGACATTAGAATCTTCAATATATGACAAATATGCATCAAAGGCAGTACAATCATTTTGATTGTTGTTCCATTTTAATCATAGAAGGTGTGTCTGACTGTTTTTGAAGGTACTGTATGAAAATATTGATTAGAAATTCATGTTTCTGTTTCTTAGGTGAACTTCCAGAGCCGCCTTTTCCAAGCCCTCCTTTTCCTGGGTCAAAAGTTGTTCACAGGAGAAAAAAGAGACAGGTAGGACCTCGCCAGACCTCTTTATTGAAGAGGGTTCCTGATGGACTCATGTTGACTTTAACATACTCATGCTTGTGTGTGTGGGAGTGCACTGATCCCTGTGTGTTTGTTTTTATAACTCTCAAAGCTAAAGATAGAGCACAGTTTCTAAATTCACACAACTGCTCCCCGCTCTTCTGTCTTCTTCTTTTGCATTAAATATTTACCTTGTGAGTCGCGGCTGCTTCAAACCCATTCGTCTTTTCTCAGATAAAGTCAGCTGTTTGCAGCTGTCTGTCCCTCAGAGCTGCTCTCATCTTTATTTGGAATTTGAAACAGAAAAATTGGTTTAGTTTTGCAGAGTTAATATTTTTCTATTCTTTATTCTTTTTATTTTTCTCTGTGACGTGTGGGACTTGTGTGTTTGTCTTCTTCTATGATCAAACTGGTAAATTGTGTTTCTTTCTTCTCAGGTTTCCCATGAGTCAAGAGGTATAGAGGATGAGACCAAATACATTGAGCTGATGGTGATCAACGACCATCTAATGGTAAAGTTTAAACTACATAGATATGGTGTGGATATACACTTACTGTAGGCCTAAATGCTTATTTGAAATAAAATAAAATAAAAATAAGTGTGTGTGTTGAGCGCTGTGTAAAGAAAAATCATCACAGCTAAAATAGTGATTGTCAGCATTGCACATTTCCGTTATGTTACTTGAATTGTTTGAAATGTTTCCTTGTTAAGTGTTTGGAAATTGACTTTCTGGTTGTTGTTGATGTCTCATCTTTTAAGCCCAAATGGAATGAGCATCATTTAAAGACACTCAAACAATATAATCACACATTTTTACCTTTAGGTTGATATGAACGGAGAACAGGATGCTGGGTGGTCTGAGAGTCAATACTTTAAATGAAATAAGTGCTTGCACTCTTCAAGGCACTCCCTTTATTGTACATTGAACAGACAGTATTCATCCGACTGGCCCTGACTTAAATCTCCTGTGGCTGAGATTGTTAAGTGCACAACAATAAAGCTGATATTTGGAGCAAAAGCAAATGTGCAGACACCTGCTCCTTTTAGAAGATTTAAAAGGCTTGAAATGAATTTGTACCAGATTGTGACTAACACTATTGTTTGTTTCCTCTCCATCCTGTTTTCATGCCTCTCTCTCTCTCTTTCTCCCTCTCTGTCTCTCTGTCGCTCTTCAGTACAAGAAGCATCGGCTTTCCGTTGGGCACACGAATAACTATGCTAAGTCAGTGGTCAATATGGCTGACATGGTAAGAATTGTATTGATCCTCTTCTTGGAAAGCTTACCACAAGCACTCCCAGGTATTGGAGCTGCACATTGCACTGTATTCTGCCAACCAACCACACTCTCTGCAGTTAAAACCTCCTATGGCTCATAATATGCTGCATACAGCTATTAACCAGCCTGTCAAAAGAGTTTTCACTGCAAACAGCATTGGCATTTCAACAGCACTGAGGCAGATATTTCTGTGTTTCATTAACATCTGTGTGCTGTGCTACTGAAACCTGACCTGCTTCAGGGTCACGTCTGTAAACTGATAGGCTTGAGAAGCTGAAGAATGGTCATGCTTTTTGCTATGTCCTTGAAGAGGATCATATGAAGCAGGCGCTATTTGGGAAGTACACATTGATTTCCATGTACGAGTATAGAATTGTCGCTTTTTCTTGGTGTACGGCAAATGGCCGTGTCAGTGAGGCCACATTCACAGTGGCACAAGACAAGATAATAATACAAATATTGCTAAGAAGCTACAGTCCGAAAGATACAAACAATATTAAGAGAAGACAGTTCTACAGATGAAAGTTATTTTTTACTTTTCTCTGTTATTGTCATTTTTGAAATCAGTCAGCACCCAGTATGGGGAACAGGAAACATCTCTGACCTTTGAAAATGATGGATGCAGCGCTCCTTCAGCTTCAGTTGAAGAACTTAAAACACTCAATCTGTCAAACACTTCTAAACAATGGAAGTTAAAGGGGAAATGGAAAATCCTCTTTTCTTAGAATTACATATGAAGGTCAAAAAAAAAAAAAAACGTCATAACTCGAGATCAACTTTGTAGCTGCTTCTGAATCTGTGTAATGTATCTCATGCATCTAATCTGCTCAGTAATTACAAGGACATTTCAGGACTTTTATTTTTGGACTACTGTTTCAGAGGTAAAGTGTAGATTTCATAGCTCACTTTGGTTTACAGTGTAAAAACCCAGGAAGGACATGTTTGTGGCATCCATCCTTTTACATTAAGGAAAGGGAGGCAAGGGTTGTTTAATGACCCTCAGGGTTTTTATAAAGATGAATGGTTATATCATTTCATTCACTTTTTTACATTAAAATAAATCTTATGCTTATACAGGCTACTGTACCGTGCAGTGCCACAAACTTTGGATTTGACAGCTCTGAATGTGCCCATGTCAGGGTGAGAGTGAGATTGTAGGAGTGAACCTCTGCAGAGATCACTGTCTGCACTCTTTCTGCTCTGTCAGCTTTGTTATGTGACTGTGTTTTTTATTTAGTTTAAGGAAATAGTCTTCTGTTTTCCACTTCTCTTGTGTTTGTTTGGACAGAACCCCAATTTGTTCTATCTTATGAGAGCAAATAATAGTATTTGCTATCCACTTTGCTCCTCTCTGTCCTTCACACGGTTACCCTTGTTGACTTTGTCTCGCCACCTGTAATGTGCTGCTGTCTGCTGGCGAGATCATATTGATCATACCGACCATTGACTGTTTCTCTTCTGACAAACAGCCGGAGAAGATGATTAGGATGAGACACACCAGTCTAGTCTTCAAAGGATAGCTTTTTAATATTCAATTTACTTTCGTTCTTCAGATTTTCAAGGAACAGCTTAATACGCGCATTGTGCTTGTTGCCATGGAGACGTGGTCAGCTGACAACAAGTTTAACATCGATGACAACCCCATGGTGACACTCAGGGAGTTCATGAAGTACCGAAAAGACTTCATCAAGGAGAAATGTGACTCTGTTCACCTTTTCTCGTAAGTCCGGCAATGTCTTGAAGGATTTTTTTGAGTCACTTGATTACCGAGATTCATTTAACATATAAACATTACATTTTGTTTTCTTATCAGCGGGAATCGGTTTCACAGCAGCTGGGGAGGAGCGTCTTATATGGGAGGAGTTTGCTCCCTGACCAAAGGAGGAGGAGTCAATGAGGTAAGTCCCAAATGTATAGCTACAGAGTTTAACATTTATTGGAGCTTTGACATTACTTCTTTCCTCTCTTTAAGTTACAGATAAATACTTTTCTAAATCTCAATATGGTGCATTTCTTTAGTTTTGTGTGAGTGTGAGTTTCATCTTTACATAAGTTAAGCTTCTGTAAATGAAAAAATCCAACAATTTATTGAATTTAATTTTATTAGTAATGCAATTTCTCCTGATTTATGAGACATCCTGATTTGTTTGTCTCCTTATCAACTTTCTGTCTGTCTGTCTGTCTGTCTGTCTCTTACCTCTCTCAATTTCAGTTTTCAATTTAGAACACTTTATTGGCATGAATGCTACACAGACAATATTGCCGAAGCATCGATAAAAAAATATCAACAGTATCAATGATTTAGCATGAGAAAAATTAATAATTATATAAAACAAAAAAATAAACAGAAGGAAAAAAAACTGTGTGTGTGTTCAGAAAAGAAAATGATAAATAAAGCAACAATCTCTCTCTCTGTCCTCCTCATCAGTACGGGAAAACAGATGAGATGGCCATAACCCTCGCTCAGTCTCTTGGACAAAACATTGGCATCTTCTCTGACAAGAAGAGGATCCTAAATGGTACACAATGACATTTTTTTGCTCTATTTCTCTCACAGTAATTATTTAATTAATTTGTGTTGGAGAAGTGTTGATGGTTGATTTTTTCGACCAGGCGAATGCAAGTGTGATGATCGATGGACTGGCTGCATCATGGATGACGTTGGGTAAGTTACTTCAGAGTACATTACCTCACCAAGTCATCATGTTAAAGCAGAAATAATAAAAGACAAAAGATTTTATGACAAATTAGAATGAAACATTATTCATTTGAATAATTGATGCCCTCAAGGTTTTAGTCAAATGTTAATCAAAACATCAGAGTTGGATTCAATTCTGTTAATTGTTGACATTAAACATCACAAAAAATGTAAATTTAAATAGAAACAGGACACATGGAAGTATATCATACAAACATACAGTATATGTATAAACTGCACAAGTATCAATTTTATGAGACAAATCGACTGTCTGTAAAATGGGTTGTTGTTGTAATTTGATAATTCACCTCTAGGTGTCAGTAAATATTTATTCTTTATAGGGCTTGTTTATATAACTTCATTGGGGTTCTTTGAGCACTGATATGTTATATAATCTGTTTCTTGCTAAGATTAGTAAATAGGTAATAATTATTTCAGTGTATGTTATTGTGGTTTCATGCTGATGTCATGACAGTGTTTGCAAGTGTGCAGTATGGTGCTGTGCCACTGTGAGCACTCAGATGGGCCTGTGCGATGTGTGTGTGTATGTGTGTGTATGTACCTCTGTTCTTAAATACCTCTTACGTTCCCCCTCTATCCCGAATGGGACAGCAGGTGAGCAGAAGTTTGGCTAGAACGTTGCCTGTGCTGATTTTAAACCAGCTGGCTGCCTCAGAGGGGTTGTCAGTCATCACAACCTTTCTGGTCTCATTTGACGGCACTGCAGCCGCTGCGGCCCCAGCTTCTCTTTTGCTTCAAATGATATGAACAAATACAGTTTGATGTTCCTTTGTCTTACGCTGGCTGTATTTTTCATCATCATTTTGTACAATTTTTACATAATTTTATGTGTATTCTTCAGTTTTTGGCCGACTTCACCGGATGATCAGCCAGGATAATTGTATTAATTTGGCTATTTGAATTATTGATGGGCTCCCCCTCTCTCTTGCCCTTTATATTGAGGACTTTCATCAGCTCTGTTTGTCCACGCCTATCCTATTGATACAGTCTGCAATGTCATTCATCTGCCTTTAACAAGTCTAACCTCCTCTAACACTCTGTGTCGAGATTTTGCTCCTGCTCCCTTTGAAGCTCAATCACAAATTTGCCATAATTTCATGTGGTCATGTGACATAGCCCCTCACCTGTGAACAGACCTGGTCCTGATCTGTTCTCTTTAAAATAAAGTTAATGGTATTTCAGACACTTGTATTCAATGAGAAAACCTCACTCATGTCCATTGACCAATATTTATTTTGATCCCTCATCTACTGCATGTCTGTTCAACCTAACCGTCTAATAACTATTCTTACATTTTCACAGGGCTAGGCTACTGTGTGTGTGTGTGTGTGTGTGTGTGTGTGTGTGTGTGTGTGTGTGTGTGTGTGTGTGTGTGTGTGTGTTAGAGTTGATTTTATCCCTACGCAATGTGTCACAGCTTATTGCTCTTATTCCTCTTTAATATGAACTAAAACTAGTATTTATATGGCAGTTGGCCCTTAAAAATGCACAAACCAATGTTTTTAGATGCATTTTGGTCCATTGAAGATTGAAAACTGGTTCACATACAAGCTAAATTTTATTTTCATTTTATTTTTTTTACTTTTGAAGTAAAAAAAAAAAAAAAAAAAAAAACTTGTGCGCACTTTTTTACATTTTGGGACTTCAGGGGCTTTGTAGTTTTCTTCCCATGAATGAATGGATTTTGGAAGGAAAATCAAAACAGGAAAAATATGACTTATAACCAGTGTAGCTTGGAAAGAATATATTTTTCTGATTAAATGTATTCATATAGTCTGCCCAATATTGTGTCAAAAGAAAACAGAAAACACATAAATGCCGAGACATTTGGAGCATTGTGGTTCAGAGACTGCAATGCCTCTTGACTACCACAAGGGGGTGACATGATAACTGTAAATAAACAAAAGAGGAGCCAAGGAAATTACTGGAGATGATAGGTAACCTTTTATTGGATACAGTACATGATGTGCTTCACAGACTTTAACACACAAATCTGCAAAAATATTTGGAATACACATGTAAATCGAATGTTCCTCCTTTGTGCTGTGAAATGAAAAGTCTTTATCGTGCCTGAATCATTTCTATAAGCCCACATTAACACAGATGCACTTGTGACAAATTATTTTGAGCCTATTTCTGTTTAAAAGGTGATTATCGGGGCACGATGGTGGCACAGTGGTAGGGCGTGCGTCCCATGTGTTGAGACTTTCGTCTCGAGCGGTAGGCCCGGGTTTGCTTCCACCCGTGGCCCCCCTCCTCATGTCATTCCCCGCTCTCTCTCCCTGGTTTCTGACTCTATCCACTGTCCTCTCTCTGCATTAAAGGCACAAAAAGCCCAAAATAAAAAATCTTAAAAAAAAAAAAAAAAAAAAAAGGTAATTATCACTCAAATATTTGAACACAATTCAAAGACATTTCTGATGCAAGTCAAAAGTGATAGCCTATAACCTGATAAGTTTCAAAAATATTGCAATGTACTTCATCCATCATCTAAGTGTCATCATTACTGGCTCTTCATACAACCATTATTGCTGTAGGAGGCTTCGTTTAGTCACATTTCATATCAAATTATGACGACCTCTCTCAGCCCTTGACTCTCTCCGGCTCTGTTATTGCATTGTCTCCTGATGAGCAGCGCAACCAGAGGCCCTCCAGTTCAACATGTGCCAGCTGCATAATCAGAACTAAGCACAGAGATAATAACATCTAAGTGCTGCTCAGGTTTGGGCCGATGTCATTATGAGCATAACAGTGAACTCCTGACATCTGATTGAGAGATTTGCATAAATACTTTGGATGCTGATTAGCTCCGAATAAATGTACAATCCAGCTGTGTTTCACTGAAAGTGAATCGAATTAATCAGACTACGCAACCAACAGTTGATGATAACTGAGTATCCTGCTTGTTTATATATCACACAATAATGCAATAACTGTCCATAAATGAATCATCCAAAATATACAAGGTCATTTTCAAGACCATTTCATAAATGCATCTTAAAATTCATTAACATCCTATTTGTCTTCACATGACCCTCTCACTCTTAGCTATACTGTATATTTACCTCCTGATTATAGTGAGGATCTCCTCTAAACTGTAAGTATGGTAACCTGTGGTAAACCTGATATATTCAGACTTTAAACAAGATAAGACCTGCTATACATTGTCTGTAGATCTGAAATTGATTCTTGTTATCGATGTGTGCAATGTCATTTGTGTTCAACACTACCTTTTTTTTGGTCTGTAATGTGTTTTAAGGGAGGAAGCCCCCTGCCCCCCCAATTGTTTCCTTTGAATGCAGTTTGTACTGTTTTCACTGTATTATATGCTGCGTTTGTGTTGGGACAGTTTCTACCTGCCAAAGAGGTTCTCCGACTGCCATGTGGAGGAGTACTACAACTTTCTAAACAGTGGTGGAGGAGCCTGTCTTTTCAACAAGCCCCTGAAGGTTTGTCACAGTCACACACAAATATACACACACATTATGACTCCTAAGTGTGTCTCCTGAATAGTTGAATTGTTAATCCTGGTCCTGTCCTCCTCAGCTATTGGACCCTCCGGTGTGTGGAAATGGCTTTGTGGAGCCCGGAGAGGAGTGCGACTGTGGCAGCCCAGTGGTGAGTTGCAGTCCTCCTGTATGTGAGAGTGGATGAATGCTAATGTGGATGTAATGTAGAATCCTAAAGAGGAAACTTGAAAATCACGCAAAGTCAAAGTGATGTGCCAAATACCCGACAACCAAACCACCTGCTGTGCCAGACTGTGCCTAGTAAGAGTTGATTTAAAGTAATGTCGTGATTTCATTGGAGAAATCAAGGCCTGGCTGCATAAAGAGTTAGAGCGTGGTCATAGAAATTCTCCAGAGAGATCCTACATGGATTGAACTCAGAAAGACTGAAACACCTTTAGGTAGTCAAAAGCAGACCACTAAGAGCAGTTCTTTTTGTCTTTTAGGAGTGTGCCAGAGAGGGCGAGGCCTGCTGCAACAAGTGCACCCTGACACAAGGCTCCAAGTGCAGCGATGGACTCTGCTGCAACAACTGTCAGGTAAAGAAAAGACACACCTACACCTTTCATCTTCTCCTAAAGATGCATGATGGGAATGTGAGAGGCATTAGCTGTCCACGCAACCAAGATGAAAAGGGGGAAGACTTTTTGTTGTTGTATAGTGGCCATTACCTCTTGGATTTGCTTTTTTATCTGACACTCCTCTGGTAAGAAACGGCTTTCAAAGAATTCTGAGACCAAATGGACTAAGTGGAAAAAACCAACAACTTTTGGCATATTAAACTTAATAGTCCTCTTTGATCATATTGTGTTCAACAGACTATTACTGGAATAGTTATAAAGTCCTTTTTACACCTTATTTGAAAGGTACACATACCTGTCCTTGATGGACTCATAGTAGTTAGGGAGTCAAGAAAGAAGAGAGAGGGTGCTTGTTGCTTGGCGTCAAACTGACACAAACCCTGAATGAAGTGCACTGAGAGTCTTTTTGGTCTTTATTGCTTGCCGTCACAGATGGAATTCATGGGAGTTGTGTGCAGAGATGCAGTTAACGACTGTGACATCCCCGAAAACTGCACAGGCAACTCCAGCCAGGTGAGACCGAGTTCTCTAATACTTTTTCCTTCAACTACAGGCTCACACAATAAACCCCTGTATCTCTCTGGTTTCCTTAAAAAAAATAAAAATCTTTTAACCTTTTTTTTTTATTATGCAGTGTCCACAAAATGTGCACAAGATGGATGGCTACACGTGTGAAAAGGACCAGGTGAGGTGTATAGATAATAAGTATTAGGTCCTGCTGTACTGTGCAATTTAATTTATTCATGTGCTATATTTCTTTTTACAGGGTCGCTGCTTCAACGGAAGGTGCAAAACAAAAGACAGGCAGTGCAAGTACATCTGGGGAGAGAGTAAGAATGATAAACATACCATGTGTTAATTAAAAGCTTAAATATACCATATACATTTTGATTATAGTCATTCTTTCTAGACTATACACTTTCTATGGAAACTTCAGAAACTTTCCAGATGGCTGTTCATTCTCGTTCTTTGTGGCTCTCCCTCAGAGGCGACTGCGGCTGACAAGTTCTGTTACGAGAAGTTAAACATTGAAGGGACAGAGAAAGGCAACTGTGGGAAGGACAAGGACACCTGGATCCAGTGTAACAAACAGTGAGTCGGCCTTCCTGCCACCAAACCCAAGATAAATCCTACATCACCTTATTTGACTCCTTGTGATCGCCTTGTTTGCGTTTCTGTATTTCAGGGACGTTCACTGTGGCTACTTGCTGTGCTCCAACATCTCACCTTCCCCACGTCTGGGAGAGCTGCAGGGAGGCCTCACCTCTTTCTCAGTAGCCCGTCACAGCGCGTCTCTTGACTGCAGGTACGCGTCACTGCAGAAGAACATTTCCTGAAATACTGTTTAGTTTTCACTTTAGTATTTATTTTCCCAGGTTGTGACAAGAAATCGGGTTAAAATGTCTTGTGTATGAAAGGATTCATTTTCTCTGCCATTGGGCAGGAAAAACACAAGAACACATGAAACAAGACATGCAGAAGCTCATAGCTACTCTACAGTATCGTTAATGTTCCGTTTTATGTACATGCAATACAGTCTGCCTCATGTTAAGTTCTGTGTGAGTGACTCAGGTGTGTGTGTTGTTCAGTGGGGCTCATGTGCTGATCGATGAAGACACTGATCTGGGATACGTCGAGGACGGTACGGCCTGCGGGACGGACCGCATCTGTTTCAACCACAAATGTCTCCCCATACAACAGTTTAACTTCAGCACCTGCCCCGGGACCACTGACAAGATCATCTGCTCTGGACACGGGGTACACACATGCAGTAAACACACCTACACACACATTATATATATAATATATATACTATAATCATTTCTTCTCTGTTTCTAATGCTGTAGGTGTGCAGCAGTGATCTGAAGTGTGTGTGTTACCTGGGCTGGGCAGGAGAGGACTGTAACTCCACATCTCCTCTTAGTTATCTTGTGGTGGGGCCGACAGCCTCAGTCTCAGGTAGAGACGCTCTCACTCTTTGTTTTCCTCATACAAACCTCTCTTCATCTCATAATCCCTGCACCTCCTCTCATCATTCTTCTTTCTTTTTTTTCTCTGCTTTCCATCCCTCTTACTCAAAACTCATCCCACCTCCCACTTCATCTCTCAGTTCTTCGGTTGTAATCCTTCCCCTTCATCCCCTTCACAAATGTTTTGTTGAATATTGAAGGCTTATACGTGTTGCGGTTTTTCTTTATTTCATTTCTCTGTGTTGTTTCATGTCTGCACATTAAAATCAGCTGCATTTGTATTCACTGAACCATGCATGCCATTCTTTTTGTTTGTCATTATTTTCACACTCATTCTTTGTCGACAGGCTGATGTCTTTGACGGAGTGACTTGAGGTCAGATTTGAGTTCCTTTGCATTGTGTTCGTCTTGTCTTTGATCCTGTCATTTTCCTTCTCTTCTTCCTCTCTCATCCCCGATTTCAGCTCACCTCGGTTGATTGTTTGTGACAGTTACTGAGTTCAAAAATCAAGCAGTTTTAAGTTTTAATCTGAGTGAGAACCTGAAACACATGTTAGCAACCAGCAGTGTTAAACTAATGGGTGTCAGGTGGATCTCCCAGTTTTGTCCCTCTTCTTCTCCTTTTACACTTCTCCTGCTTAATGTACTGTGTTTTGTGTCCTGCTGCAGTGTGTTGTGGTTTGTGTATCCCCCTGTGTCTACATGATTCAGGAAGAAAGAGGCAAACACCCATTTAACACACACCGGCTCCCCACTCTCCCTCTCCTTCTCTGTCTCAGGTATCACCAGTACCAACATCATCATCGGGGCCATCGTAGGCTCGTTTCTCTTCCTCGCCCTCATTATGGCCGCCACAGCCTGGTGTTACAAGTGAGTGTTGCCTCAGCCTGCAAGTGTGATGTTTTAGGAATTAAGAATTTAGAAATTCAGAAAGCTTGACTCAGGAGATGTTTATCGGGATAAGGGAAAAGCATATTTTCTGTCACAGAATAATGTTCATTCAGAGTTTCCTTTTTTTTATATTGTTGTGAATCACTGGCCTTAATCATTTGAGACCTTACAGTTATAGTCTGTAAGATGTACAGTTAAATAAAGGTCTGTTTAGTCACTATCTATTCACATATCAGGGAACAATCCCACAAACATGTCAATACAGCTCATAATCACTGCTTTATCTCATATAATACATTTGAAAACTTTAATGGTCTTTATCTTGACAGGAGCTACAAGCAGAGATGCTACGTTGAATCTGAGGTTCACAGAAGATTCTGCAGGTTTGCTCCCTTCAACTATATTTACAATTTGTTTTATTTTTGACATAAACTAATTACAATCTTTGCTAAGACTTTTTTATTAAACAGTTTTTGTCACAGTGTTTTTATGGATGCATAACATAAGTCTAAGTTAACTTTCAAAATAAGTGAATTGTAATAAACCAATTTTTCTTAAATTAGCCCACATAAAAAAATCGACATCTCTAATCAGAAAATATTGACCTTTTTCTGTATAACCACCAGTAAAAAAGTACTGCTCAACAGTAACAGAGTCATTTTAATCTAGTACAATTTAATTAAAGGGACTAGTACAAAAACGTTTTATTCATTTTTTTCAAGAGTACGATGCAAACTGGCCAATTGAGAGTGTTGTGTGAAAAATACATCACTGATATCATTAGTATAACATTAATAAGATTATAAAGTGGGGGAGTTGAGGCTGATTAAACTGGTATTTTACATAAACAGTGTAACCTTTACATATTGTAGCAGAGTAAAAACGGACCATATTTATCACTGAAATATCTTACTGTAAAAAAACACATTTCTGTATACATCTGGAAAATTTTAATGAGAGAGAAAAATATCCTAACAAAAGACAGAAAGGCATTTCCAATCTTAATGCTTTCTTGTGTTTTTCCAGACAAATGCCCCCAGGTGACTATGTCACAAAGCCTGGGGACGCAGATTCCTTTTACAGCGACATGCCTCCGGGGGTCAGCACAAACTCCGGCTGCAGCTCCAAGAAGAGGTCAGCCTGCCTGTCGCACCTGCAGATTTGCACCCTGTCCTTCACTCCCTCCATCCCATCCATTTCTCAGAACATCTCACTGTTTGGCTTCAGGTGTGCCATCTCATCATCACTCATTCATTCGCTGTGTGTGTGTGTGTGTGTGTGTGTGTGTGTGTGTCTCTGGTATGTTGAGCTCTATCATGCTTGTGTTGCTTTCAAGGCTTCCATGTTGCAACTCTTTCTGTGAACATTTTGGAATAAAACCAAAATGATAAATATTCTGTTTGTCTGCAGAATTGAGCACTGCTACATTCTCCATGCAATCATGTCACTCAGCTGTCATGTCACTTTTTCATGGCTCATATTGTTACCATCTTCAGCAAGGTGTTTTCCTATTTTCATCCATTTTTTATCACTGCTCTTCCTCGTCTCCTCCTGCGCAGAAGGAGCAGGAAATCATTTAGCAAACTGACCGGATGATGATGTACTTTTAATCTTCTGCCCACTCTGAATGTGTGTGTTTGTGTGTGCATGTGTGTTTGTAGATCTAATGGTCTATCCCACTCATGGAGTGAGAGAATCCCAGATGCCAAACACATCTCTGACATCTGTGAAAATGGGCGACCAAGGAGCAACTCATGGCAAGGTAACGTTCAAATCTACACCACTCATAGAAAAGAGGAAACACTTGTACTTCCTCGGTATTGACGTTGTGTGAGGTTCTTCAAAAACAATGGCTGTAATGCGTTTGTTCCCCAAAACAACACATATCAAGGCACAGAGCCTTTGTCAAAGCCAGGACAAGATGTGAATTGAGTCTCATGTCTATTATATTTGCTTGTAGACTTTGCCACCAGTTAGTATCTCATCTGTAAAACATTTTCAACATTTTAAATGCAGGGGTAATACAGTAAAAAAAAAAAAAAACAAGGAAGGAAGGAATCTGAATAAATAATTCCTTGACTTTAGAAGTCTCCATAATCAAATCAAATGTTTCTTAATGATGTAAAATCAAGTTTCCATGAAGAGTTTTGATATTTGTCATAAAAACATCAAGTTCATACCAAACATTTCAATACGGCCCCCATGTGGGTCAGTCTCATTCTGCTTTGTGTCTGGTTTGAGGCACCATGGGACAAGCACAACAACAGAATCCGTCTCACTTTTAAACATTTGAGATTTTTGATTTACATCAGTGATGCGAAGATGCAACACAAAAAAAAGATTTTCAACCAATTTCTTCCACCTTAAATAAATTGAAAACACAAGTTGATAAAGTCAAACATTTTCCCAAACTTTCAAGACTGTAGAAAACTCTGAAATGCATGTTTGTGTTTTTTTTTCTCTCTCCAGGAAATCTGAGCGGTAATCGTAAGAAACTGAAAGGGAAGAAGTTTCGTGCTCGCTCCAACTCCACAGAGTAAGTTAATTATGGCAAAAGGCTCATGTTGAGAGACGAATGAACATTGCAGGTGGCATATGCAGAAAGGAGAAGCTCGAGAGAAAAACAGTATCAGTTCATAAAGTTGGCCTTAGTCTATATTCTTTATTCTTTATAAGTTCATGTCAACAAATACAATGAAGAGACACAAAAATAAAAAATATCATAGCATCATGGCTCTTAGTATCAGGCTTTAAAAATGTCAAATGTAAAAATCATACAAATCCCAAGTTATTTTGGGTCCAAAGTTAAATGACCATATTTTGAAATGCTTTGACTGACAGGCTAAATCCTACCCTGCTTTATCTCCTGTTTTACTTTCAATGTGACCATAACTAAAATAAGGAACATTGTGATTTATCTAAGAGGTCTTCAAATCAAAGAATGAATGTATAAACTGATTAGCAACTGATTGGCTTTACTAAGTCACTCATATAAAATGAGACCTATTCTTGCCCCCTGTTGGCCATTAGAAAGAATCTATGACTGAGGCCCTTCTCATTGGCTTCAGCTTGTAGAGCCACAGTCTAATCCCACTTCTTATATCCAGTCTGTATATTTAAAACGTTAATCACAAGGAAGATAACAAGGGCAAATGTTACTTAATAATAGGGACGATTCAAAGTTGGATTTGTCTTTTCATTAGATCTAAAATCTACAAAGATGTATCATGGCTGTGAAAATATATGTAATTTTTTTTTATAATTTCTCAAATTCAGTACCTGAGATAGAGAGAGTTAATATAGAGCGATCTCATTGTCACTTGCAGTGTGAACTCTCAGCTCTAGTGGGGCTTGTGAGGCCGCACTTAACCTCAAAATACCGACAACTTTGTCTGTGAACCAATGAAATATTTGCATTTATGCCTGCTGACTGTAAATGAGCAGTTTGCATCGGCCTGCTCTGTTGGTTTGTTTGTTTGTGGGTTTGAAAGTCTTGGCATATGAAAGAGTGTGCAGTGCACCTATTCTCACTGCTGGCATGGGACTGACTGAGCAGCGAGACGCTAACTGCTTGGAATGATGTGACATGTAGCCAATATGCAACTGAGCCTGAAACACACGACACAGTTGTTTGTGATTTCCATGGTGCCGTGTCCATCTGAAACCACACACAGGTCTGTCTGCCATCTTCTCACCATTTTCTCGATTGCATCTTGGAGTGTGTTCAGGATATCTTTGCTCTGCTCTGCTTTCCTAAAATATCTCCTCTTCCTCTCTTCCCCCTCCCACACCGGCTTTTTTCTGGAGATTTGTGTGTCCTTTTCACTTTCTTTTCCTTCTTCCTTCCTTTTCTCTCTTCTCTCCCTCCTTGTGTTGTGTCCATCACCCCCCTCCCCCTCCCACAGGTATTTAACCCCTCGCTCCAAAACAGAGTTTTATGATGTAACTAAATGGGTAGAAGATGTGAATAAAAACACTCAAGGACCTTACCTTAGGTATTATCTCAGACCATGTCCTGTACCTTACACGCTTGTCTTTAAAACCCTCACTTTTGGTTTGATTTGTGGCTTGGTCAAGGAAAGTAACACTTAGCTCCAGTCCTGTACTTTTATGTTAACGTTTCAAAGTAATACCTCAGAGGACATATCATCCACAACTGGCATGATGGGACGAGAAGGGGTTGGCTGCTGAGCATTAAATGAAAAGATAAAACAAAGTTTCATATTTCCACATTACATTATGCTATATTTTGTCTTTTACTTTGCCAACTTTTATTTTCCGCAAATCATTCTTCTTTATCTTATAGCAAATAAAGACCTAATGGCTCTTACTGCCTGAGTCAGTTTAAGAATCATAATAGAGTTATTTCTTATTTCTCCTTATCCCCTCCTTTGCTACTCCACCTCCCCCAGTCTGTTGTTTTCTCAGCATGATGTGTGTTGTGTCTGTGTGTCAACTCAACCTCGCGCCTACTGACCTCACATGTCTTTGCATCACTGTGATGTCACTGCCAAACATTTCAGCGCAGATATCATCACTGTGCTGCTGTGACAAACTGTAGGCCACCACTCTGCTCATTTTCAAGGTCTATAGATAAACTCGAGCCACAAGGTTTCCTTGACAACAACAAGGAAGTTTATGGTCTCATGTCAACTCAGCGACTTTTTCTTTCTTCACCTCTACAAGTGAAACATCACAACAATGACATAAACACTCAGCACTGTGATCTATAGACCTTCACTGTATCCAAGAGCACTTTTCTCCCCCTTCCCCTGTTACTACTCTGCAGGACAAAAACAATCCAAAAGAGTGGAGAGATGTAGAGGATGACATCATCACAGCTTACCTCAAAACTTAACAATTATAGAAAACTGACTTAAGGATTATTTCCATCACTTACACCTGCAAAAGTCCTACTTAACGCTCTAGTGGGGAGTTTGATGACCTCAATATGAGCTACAAATCAACATAAACAATTGGGCATGGAGCTAAAGAGCCCAAGCCACACCCCCTTCCAGAGGGGCGTGTTCAGGCACAGCTCATTTGCATTTTAAGCCATAGACGCCGAAACAGCCTACTCTGACTGAAATAGAGGGGTTTATAGGTCATGATAAAATACAGGATCAGAGTGGATTTTTAACAACAAACTTGTTTTGGGGACCTCTGAGACGTATTTAAACTCGTTGAAAAGGAGTATAATGTGACCTTTAAATGGGCTTATATGATGGTATCACATGTCGTGACAACTCATCTAATGATCGTCTCACATTTACCGCAAATGTAGACTGTATGCCAACATAAGAGGAAAAGTCAGGCGATAACCAAAATCAGTAGGCTTCCTCATCTGGAGAGAATGATGATGATGTAGAACATTTCATATCAATATTTTAATTAAGTTTTTAAAAAGTGGAAGTAAACATTGACATGTAAATTCACTGTGAGAAAGCAAACTCCTGAATCAGCTGCCTCCTGACTCTCTCCACTACTTTGACCGCTGCTGATCACACAGCAGTGGTGTAAACAACCTGCTGTACATGTGACAGGCTTTTCAGTGGCTGTTCCACTGGATAGGTCCTCTCCCTCTGATTCTCTCATTCTGTTGTTCTCACCCAGGTCCGGTCTGGTCTGCCGTCACAGTCACCTCATCAGACTCACTGCTCCCAGCATTCCTCATTTAAACACACAAGTGATTCAACTTTTAATGACGACACAGCAGCTCAGCTGGCAGCAGAAGTTACCTTTAGCTGTATGTTGTTTTAATAGTGGCTAAAGGTGAATTTCTGGTCATTTTTTTTGTGCCAGCGCAGAAGATGAAAAAAGCAATGCAGCAGCAGGGTGAAGTGTGTCAGTTGCAGGAGACTATGACAAGTCCACTCCACGGCTGGGAACTGTGTACTCCTGTGTACAGAGGTTGCCCCTAAAAGCTGAGATATGGATATTTTTTAATTTTTCAAAAGTATAACATAATCCTCCAGCATCTTTTCATTAATCAAGATACATAAGAGCTGTTAAGAGCAACCTCTCTCTGCAGGAAGGTCAAATAATTAGAGCAACTCGAGGACGATGTTGCCCAAAGTCACGGATCTAAAAACAGCTCGACTTACAGATGACACCTTGTTAATCCATCTGTATCTTTGGCCAACATCCTCCTCAACCAACCAGAACAGGAGAGGCAGTTTGTTAATGATCTTCCTTCCTCTCTTCCTCAGGACGCTATCCCCTGCTAAGTCCCCAACTTCCTCTACAGGATCTATCGCATCCAGCAGGAGGTACCCGTACCCTATGCCCCCCCTCCCAGACGACCAGAGGAAAGGCAACAGGCAGAGCGCCAGGGCAAGTATTGATCAGGGACACATGCAAACAGGGGCGTCTGTCGTGGGATGAGGTTGACCCAGTCTTGCTAGTAAAGTGAAATTCTGACTTCAGTTTCATAGAATTTCTATTTTTGTCTCCCAAATTTCTGAGTTTTTTTGCTCAAAAATATTTGGGGATTTTTTTCCTCAGAATATTGAGCCTAGTCCACTATACTTTCCTCTATGATGGACACTAAACCTCCTCATGATAGACTAGAACAAGCTTAAAAAAGGATATATGGTACTAAAGGATATGAATAAATCCAAACCTGGATCTGTCAGCTCATTGCTGACTGTTTTTCTAGACCAGACTAAATGTGTTTATTTTTCACTAAATTGACCATAACAAACCTGTTACAATATGCAGTTTATAGTATTGTGTGACCTATGTAAGTATGTTTCTACTCAAGTCGAGTTTTATCGTGCACACAGTGACAAAGTTTAAGGGTGTGAAAGTGAAATGACAGTGTGCAAATGTTACTAATCTTTCTTCTATTTTTCTCTCTCCCCTGTATCCCATGCTTGTCTCTTCAGCTGTGGGAGACTTCAATATAACAGCCTTGTTACCCACTTTGCAAAAGGCCTTAAGGAACTACTCTTGTGTCTCCTTTTCTGTGAATAAAAAAACACACAAATGAAACAAAATTGACTCTAAGCGAATAAAGAGAAAGATAAGAGACCCCCAACTGGAGTGGAAATAGGCAAAGGTGTGTGTAAGTGCGTACGAGCAACTCCCAGGATGTTTTGGCGTCATTCAGTGGATCTCTAAAAGAGGAAGCGGAGTGACGGGGGAGAAATCACCATATCCACTCCGGACCAGCTGGAGCTCAGACTGGGCTGTTCCTGTCTGCTCAGGCCTCACCTACGGGACTGCTAACCCCCCCCCCCCACCCCTCCTTTCCCAAACCTCTTCACATCCTTCTGAACTCGGCTCTCATCATCCTCCTCACTTCAACACCACTGTTCCCCCTCTCTGAGTTTTTTTTGGAGCTTTTAAAAAAAGGAACCATGAAGCCAGATCAGGTTATCGTATCACATTGCATCGCTGGATTTTTTGGATTATTTTGTTGCACGTGAAACACTGTAGAAACTCCGACACTGTATGCATGAGACAACCCTGTATATCAGCAACCTCCTACTGAAAAGACGAGAAGAACTGTTGGCTGATCTGAAAGGAAAGCATGCAAGGGAACAGTGATTTTTATAGTTTCTGTAGGCTTAGACGCTTTCTCTCCACTATAGGAAACCCCAGGTGTATCACCACTTATAACCCCATAACCCATTACATGAACCCAACCTGTCCCGCTTGTTTGACCGTGTGTAAATATGTACAGTAAAAAAACACACAGAGTATGTTTTTCCTTTCATTTTAAAGGAGGTTAAGGATGGAGTCCCTTCTCTCTTCTTCCTGTTGTACTGTGTTGTAGACAGAAGCAGATTTCTGTAGATAGGTGTAGAGATCCCACACTTGTCTGTATTTCCATTTTTTGTCTTCATTTTTCCTCCCCTCTGGCTTCTTCTTGTGTGACTGTGACCTATATAGCTCCCTCCATCCACAGCAGAATGTAAAATTGTGGGTTTTTTTCTTTCTAATCTAGGTTTCATCCACCTCTGGGAGAAATACACAGACATTCAGAACTGACTGAAGAAGTATTGGTAGAGATATTGATGGCACATGGAAAGTGTTGCTGAACAGCTGTTGATGAGTATTATTTAGGGAAATATGAATAGTGTTATGTGCCATTCCTGAGTGGACGGAGGTGTGTTTGCTGTAGTTATAGATGTGCCACTTCTCACATGTGGGTTTTGGAAGTTTCCTCATTGATTATTAACATTTATTTAAGTCCCCCCTGATAGATTTTGGACGTTTGAGTCCCTCAGATTAATGAGATCAAAAATCAGTAACTGAATGTGGTTATTGGTCAAACTCTGCAAGAATCTGGAAACAGTGATCAAACAATGTGCATTTTGGATTTAGCTGTAATGATTGAGATATTTAGCCTTGTAAATGATTAACTATGCTGTACAGTGCTTGCTGTTTGAACGGCATGACAGTTTGACAATAAATTAAGTTATTTATTCAGGTAGGTTGGGCACTGTTGGCCACCAAAGGCAGGAGCTCACATGGCTTAAAATGATCAGGAAGATTTGAGCATTGACTGATGCCTGTGTCTCTATTTAAGGTCGATTCATTAGAACGAGTCTTATATCACTCCCAAGAAACAAGCTCTTTGTACAGTTTTAACGCTGTTGTCTTAAGGCCGTCTGTTTGTCATCCTACTACTGTATTGTTACGTTTTGTTTCCCAGTGTGGGCACTTTTTCATTTGTAATCCATGTATACATTAGGACTGTATAGGTTATATGATCTCCACAATATTGGATAAATATTGCTACAAGTATTTTTTTTATTAATTACCTTTGTAACGTCCACTTTTTTCTCAGCATTATGTACAGCAATGACTCAAACAGTAATTAAGTGCATTATTGTAATTATGCGTGTTAATGAGTTTGAATGGAGACATGTTGAGACTTGTTTTGAAACACATTTGTCAACAGGCATATAGTCGGGTTGTTCCTCTGGCATGTGCTAATCTGTATCATATAAAGCTTGGACACATAATGATGTAAATGAGATCTCTACGGGCTCATAATTTGCCTTCTACTAGAGCTGTCTTCTTTTTTTGTTGCTCTGGTCTTCTGTAAGTATTGTCAATGTTTAGTGGCCCAGTCATGTTTCCTGGGCTATCCAAGGGGGTAGGGAGCAGTATCTCAGAGTCCTTGGTTATATTTTTAACATCATGTACTGTGCTACAGAGAGACATTTGTCCCGCTGTCACAGACACTGCACAGTATGATAGGGCGAGGATGGGACGCAGGCTGCAGTTGATATCTTTTATTGTACAACTGTCAAACAAACATATCTGCTCTTTCTGCCTGCACGCGGTTGGACCAAAAAGGTCCTAGCAGAGGAAAAAATCTGGTAAAATTTCCCCGCAAATGAGCCTTCTGTCTCTGTCTGGCCAGAGACTTGAATGTATTCGTGTACTGGAGAACACCAACCACCCAGTCTCACCCATACGATCCCATTCTGCTGTTGGACACATCAGCCCTCTGCTGCAGGAACTATGACAACCCTACATGTGTGAGATCAAAACTGAATACTGCAGTTGCTTTTTTCTTTAATTCTTAAAGTGTTATTTTGCCTGTAAGCTGTACAGACAAGTGATGCAAAAATCAATGCCATTATTTTTCTTTTTCTTAATCATTCAGTATTGTAATATATTTAATATAAAATAAAACTTTCATCAACACTTCTGTCTATGCTGACATTTCTAAAATTTACTTTTCAGATTTTAATGGATAGAAAACTGAAACAAAGCAGATTTGATGTAAAACTGACTCTCCTTATTCATGTGTATTTGAATATGGTTTATGAGCAACACACACTGAGACATCATTGTTTTCATTTAGTGTTACAGATTTTAGCCAGATCTTAATATGCATATGGTGTCTTTGTTCATGTCATTTTAAAGTCCAGTGTTTCCACCATCAGCCACTCAGTGATATCTAACCACGTTAGCCTAAGAAGACTACAATCAGTTCTACAAAGTAGCATATTCAGAATGATGCAGAATTATGTAGAACAAGCAGGTTTTTCAGGTTGTAGTTTTTTTAAAGCAACATTCAAAGATTGGCCCTCTTCCCCGGCTCAGTGACACCCGCTCCTTTTTCATCTGTTCTAATGATCTGACATCTGGTTGCTTTGTTTTGACAGTCCCCTCCTCACTTCCTGCATGTGGTCATATGCTGGGGGCTACACACCCACTGCCCATCATTGTTTGTCGTGAAATGTCCTGCACACTGAATGAGGACGTAAATACAGGCAGAAGGTCTCTGCAGATACAAACATTCTTATTTTGAGTCAATAAAACTTTTTTTAAGGAAGACTCATAACATTTTATGTTGAGGCTATGACAGTCAGTAACAAAAAAGTCCCTTTATTGCCGCTGCTAACAGGTCTGCATGGCACAGTTGTGTGTTTCATCTGAGTTTATTCGCCATTTCAGTCCAACCTATCAGTCATTTTTATGGCACACAGAATAAAACCCATCCGTCACTCTTACACTGCAGGTCCCACAGGAAGTTGTAGTAAGTTGTCCGTGACTTTCACAAAAGCTTGTGTGAGTTGGACATCAGTGCCTTCAGTCTTTCTTGATGGATGGCTTTAGAATCCGTTTCTGCAGCTTCATCAAGTGATTCTCTGATGCAACTCTTCAAATGTTCGATACCAAACCCAGTGAGGGCTGAGACAGGAACCACATGTCTGAAACTCAGATAGTTCTTTGGTTTCATGTCGTCAGGTAACAGATCAGAAAACTCTGCAGGAGGGAAAAAAACAACAGAATTAATATGAAGAATATAACAACACGGAAGCCTAAAAATGTTGTTTTGCTAATAAAACAAAGAGTGAGGTCTTTTAACTGCTCTTTTGTAAAGCGTCTTGAGATACAGATAAGGAGTTGGCGCCATACAAATAAAGATCGATTGATGCCAGCAACACAAATGAATGTAATTCTTTGTTCTTTGGCTCTGATCAGTCAACATGCAGGATTACTTCTGTAATGTTATCAGTTTTTTCCTAATGTCTGCTAAACCTTGTTTTACTCAGTAGGGCAATGAGGAACAATTTACATTTCTTTGGCCTCCATTCTGTTACGTTAGCTACTCGATGTGTAGTCACAACAAATGATTTATCACATTAGCAGCCAAGGGACTTTTGCATTGCATGTCACAAAATGTTTTTTTGCTAAGGAACCATTTTAACAGTCACATAATGTTTTGAACAGAGTATTTAACAATATAATGAATTTAAATGTGAGGTCTTTTTCTATTGGGACGACTGGCCTCTTAATTCTGTATTTGCTGTACAGGTATTTTTGCTTTCTCATTATGCAGTATTTTTTTTTTCTACATGCAGCCCGTGAGTTTTCAGTTGGTCAAGATGTTTACTTAATTTGTGAAATTAATTTGAGCTCTCATGGTCATCACACTAAAGACGTACTTACATGCAAAAGAGAAATCTACATATAAAACATTTATTTTATATAATAAATGAAAAAGAGTTTAAAATGTATAAAAGAATACATCCAGCAAATATACCTTCTGGGTTCTTCAGCTGCTCCCTCAGCTCTACTAGTCTGTCTTCAGCATCAGGCAGGTCCATCTTATTCACCACCAGTAAAGCAGGCTTCGATACAAGCTCCTCTTTGAACAACTCCAACTCCTTTACACGGACAGGAGAGTGGGAGGAGGAGGAGGAAAGAAGAACAAGATGGAAAATGTGTAAGGAGTCAAGTTCATAAAAGAATGGTAAGAATATTATGCTGACCCTTTAGACACAACAAAAAACATGTATTTATTATAACCGTGTATGTATTTAACAAGAGTTTCGTATTTCCAGTGACCTTGGTGAGAAGTTGAACGGCTTCAAAGGCCGACCTAAACGGTGTTTTACTCGCCAGCTGGAAACCAGAAACATCAACCTGCAGCCACACAAAGTTTGACAAAATTAAACTCCATTATCTTCAGCAGCACTTTTCAGCAGCTTATGTTGTCCACATTCAAACGTATACATATTTATGTATGCGTCATCTTGAAAACCTACCACAAAGAGAAGCTGCTTAGTCCTCTCCACGTGTTTTAGGAACTTGTGGCCCATGCCTTTGTTTATATGAGCTCCTTCAATCAGGCCAGGAAGATCAGCAACAGAAATCTACCAGAGATAAAAATGATGAGAACAACCTAATAAATGATGGACATTTAAAGATAGAAACATTAGTACGCATTCCTTTACCTGCTTGTAATCTTTATACATCAGTTTGCCGATCTCAGGCTTCAAAGTCGTGACTGTGAAATAAAGAAGATTTAAGAAAGGTCACTGAAAAAAAGTAACCTAACCTCACGCTCTGTTGTGTAGCGTGTATTATGATGTACTCACAAGCATAGTTTGCAATCTGAGGAGTGGCGTTAGACATGGCTGTCAGGAGAGACGACTTCCCTGCGTTTGGGAACCTGATGGTGAATCAACGCGAGAAAATCAGACACTAAGAGAAATATTTAAAGAGCAGCTGAATGAACATGTCTGTGTGTGTTTCTACTCTCACCCAACAAGGCCCAGGTCTGCGATAAGTTTGAGATCCAGCCTTATGTGTTTGGCCTGACCCTTACTGGGCTCAAATGCAGAGTGAAAGGTGCCTCCACGTCCTCCTTTCGCAACCACGAGACGTTCACCATCAGCATTCAGTTCACCTTTGAGGGACAGTGGTTGAGGGGGGGAATGAGTGAAGAACCTGATTTTGTACATCAGTGGCCTATTAAACTCTTATATTATCTCTAATACCAAAATTGATGTACCGTCCCAAAAACACACAACTCCACATGCATCCATCCCTTACATGTATTTATATTTAAATTAAACCACCATGTTGAGTTTTTGTGACACAAAAATACAGTGCAAGGAGTTATAAATATATGTCCTAATTACAAAGACGTGTAAAGTTGCTAGTATTTGTATTTCTAGGATCCTAGAGCACTACGTCTTTGTTCTTAGAATTAAACTATAAAGAAGTGAAACCTCAGGATCAGTTTCGAGTAAAGGGAGGACTCCAGTATTAGAAAAGTTCTTCAACATACCAATTATTTTGCCATCGTCTGTGGTGACGGTGATACCAACAGGGGCATTGATCTCCTTGTCCGTCCCCTTCGCTCCTTTCAGTGCTCGAACACTATCAATAAATACAATTCACAAACAATAATCACACACATACCGACTGGTCCTACCTTATTCAACATGTTTGCAGGCATTTAAAGAACAAACATCAATGTATCATCATTTCGGGAGGACAAAAAACATGGCACAACTTTAAGTTGTATTTGTATTGACGAACCTGCTGTTAGATCCAGTTCCACCTACAAATCGTTTCTGGGGGTACTTATCCTTGACCTTCTTCAAGGTAGTAGTCTTTGAAGCCACCACCCAAACATCTCCCCCATTCCCTCCCTGTCCACCAAGTCGGGGTAAACCCATTCCGCCAGAGCCTCCATGGACGTACAGACGCAGGTTATCCACAAAGTTTGCATACTGCAGATTGAAGAGAGAGACATCGCAGTCATGAGTTTCAAGAACCATCTTCAGCAAAAATGAGACTTAACAAACAGGTGAAGCAGGCTCACTGACTGCACCCTAAATAATCGTTTTCATTTTTTTGACAAGTGTCATCATCATAATCTTTACTGACAGACTCGGGGGTCCATCAGAGTAACCTGACGAAGAAAAGACTGTGGATGCATCTCTTAATCATCCCTCCATGAAAAGCCTAGACTTTGGTTCATTTTGTATTGAAAACCAGAATATCTCGCATCACATCAGTCAGAGTTTTGGTTAATTTATAATAATAATAATAATATATTGTTTTTTTATAGGAACCCAAAGACGCTTTGACAAAATACAAAACCATAAAACAAAACAAAAAACGACGAGGACAGTACAATGAAGAAGTAATGTAGGGGGGGAGAAGGGGGAGTTAGTGGTTGTAGGCAATGTTGAAAAGGTGAGTTTTGAGGGATTTGTTGAAGGAGGTGAGTGTGGGGGAGTCTCTGATGTTTTTTGGGAGAGAGTTCCAGAGGGTGGGAGCAGCAACAGAGAAAGCCCTGTCCCCCCAGGACCGATAGAACAGGAGGTTTGCATCTGCAGACCTGAGAGTGCGGGTGGGAGTGTGTCGGTGGAGGAGGTGAGACAGGTAGGGGGGGAGCCAGGTTGTGAAGGGCTTTGAAGGTGATGATGAGGAGCTTGAAGTTGATACGCTGGGGGGGATGGGGAGCCAGTGGAGGTCATGAAGGACGGGGGTGATGTGGGAGACGGGCTGCGGAGTTCTGAATGTGTTGAAGTTTCTTGAGTGATTTGGATGGTGAACCATAGAGGAGACTGTCGCAGTAGTCTAATCTGGAGGTAATGAAAGCGTGGGTGAGGGTCTCGCTGCTGAGAATGAGAGGGATGGGCGGAGGCGGATTTAAACAAAAGGGTCGATTTAGTTCAGGGAGGTTCTTTATATTTAACAGCAAAGCCAATCATAATTTGGCTTTACGACAATTGAAACACTATTATTGAGTTAAAACACAAAACCTACAGTAAAACTTACTAAACTTGTATGAACTATTTCCATCAGAGAGTTTAGCTTTATCTGACAGTTTTTATAATAACAATGTTTGACAAACTGCGACTTCAAAGCCCTTAAAAGCTCCTGAAGGTCAGCCTGGTTTATTCAAGCATCACGACTGCCGATAAAGATTTCAATAAAGATTTCAATCTTGGTAGAAGTGGATCTTGGGTTGACTCTGTGTAATCAAAGCAGTCCTTTAAAACACAGTGTGTGTGTGTGTGTGTGTGTGTGTGTGTGTGTGTGTGTGTGTGTTTTTAATGTATTAAACATGCAGCTGTGGACACATTGAAACTCAACAACTTAACACTAACGTGTTATGATCACATGTAAGGTCTCTTCAGTCACAGATGGACACAGACGTATCAAATTGTCACATCTTTAAACGAGATCACATCAGTCTGGTAAGATGATGTTGATGTTTTGACTGTAAGCAAGTTAGCAAAAAGCCTGTCACACACAGCGAGCTAACAGTTAGCTTTTCCGGTTAATGTCACCGCAGCAATGTCAACAGAGGCTTCACTGTGTAATAACTTTACATGAGATTTACAGTCACTACAGGACTCACCTTCCGAAAGCAGATTCTACTTAATTGGACCATCTTTAGCGGCGTTTTATTGCCACTCTTAACGTTGTTCACTGAGCTAACAGCTAGGCAGCATGTGTTTGTATCACAGGGTGGTTTATGTCAGCTGATTGGCTGAAGAGACAAAGAGGCGGGACATAGAAGGTCTGAGTGACAGCTGGTAGGAATCGGGTTCTCCAGTAGGCTATAGGACAAAACACTGGTCCAGAGTGAGACCAGTGAACAAGTAGATTAGTTTACTGAATAATAAAATAGTGGATGTTATTCAAAGCACAGATAATTCTAATGACCCCCTGACCCTAGAGCAGGGGTGGGCAACTGGCGGCCCGGGGGCCACATGCGGCCCCCATCAACCCTCAACGTGGCCCTCGGGTCAATTTTTTACATATCAATTAATTGGAAACATGAAGAAAACATGACAAAATCTGCCATGAAATCATAAAAACCAGAAATATGTCCATAATAATATTTGATCACTGGCATATGTTGAGTTAAATTTGAGACATAATTGATTGGAATCGTTTTTTGTATCCTACAATTTGGCCCTCTGGCAGTGAGAATTAAATGAATGTGGCCCTTGCTGTGACCAAAGTTGCCCATCCCTGGTCCTAGACCTAGTGCTAAAAGATACTCCATGCACGTTAACTACATAACCAGGCCAATTTGTCTCTTTTACAAAGCAGCCATGAAGGTTAGCACATTTTGCTATCCAGTGGATCAACTTTTAAACTATTTGGATAGTCATTTATCTAGCCCCGCCGCTGGCTTCTCTTCATGGGGCAACTGATCAATATGGGGCAAAAATCAATATTAGAGGACGTATAACATGAACTTATAATAGAGATGTATGTATTTGTTTCCACATGACAAGATAACATTTTGGAAAAACATTAGTTTATCCGAGTATTTGGATAATACATTTCATGATTATAAAGATTTCTGCTTTGAGCGCATTCAGTGGGCAGCATAGAGTCGGCGGCGCTGTGAGGATGCTGAGAGATGCTCGGATCTTCCGGCTCTCTTCCCTGACGCCTGCCGGTGCGGTGAGATGCGCATGTGACGACTCAAGCAAACGCAGGATCCGCTCTCCCATTCTCTCTCTCTCTCACACACACACACACACACACACACACACACACACACACACACACACACACACACACACACACACACACACACACACACACACACACACACACACACACACACACACACACAGGCAGGCAACGAGACATAGAGCACCCGACAGGCGACGTTTACAAGCAGATCAGACCTGAATAAACCAGGTCTGTGCAGATTTAACAGCATAGAGGTAAGTATGTATGTATGTTTGCGTGCGTGCGTGCGTGCGTGTGTGTGTGTTTGTGATGACGAGAAAGAGGTTGGCTTATTATCTCATGCAAGACCCCGGACAGTTGCATCGGTCCTCCCACTGATGTCTGCCTATTTATACGGTCAGAAACGCAGCCGTGGGTCGTGATAACTGGACGCGACTGGGACACAGAGACACATCACATAGCGGTAAGAGAGATCTGTTCTTGGCTGAGTGTTGCGGATGCCCGTGAGTGTGTGTGACCTAAATTATGCAATGATGGTGACACAGCCTCTATCGCATGTGCTCCCTGTGTCTTATTGGATGCAGGCTGCAGAGACCCCGCTATACTCGGAGTCAGAAGAGAGTAAGGGGGAGTTTGAGCATGTGGGTCCATGAGGATTTGATGATGGGGTGACAGACTGCTACATCTTTTTTTTTTTTTTTCGCACCATTCTCCTCTAGCGTGTGCAGCAACATCCACGTTTTAAATAGTGCTAAAGTTAAGCTTATTGTGTTACTTACCTCAAGACTTCTTCATGAAAATTAGCCCGAGTTGCATAGACAGATGTTATAGGCCAGACACACCTTTCAACCAGAGCTTTAGACTAATTGTGAAAAAAAAAAGATTCATAATTGAGATTTATGCACACATTTGAAGTTCCTACAAAACATAGCTACATACAAGGTAGGCCATGGTCCATCCTTACTACAAATGGAGGCTTAACACACATAAGAAGTCACACGGGGGGATGGTCCAAATTAAATCAGTGTATGATATAATAGTTTGCAATTTTTCTTGCATCTTACTGGCTGGCATACTTGATGCAGCTACCATAAGGTAGTAAATAACTCTATCCAGAATTACAAGTGATAAGTGATAAGTGATTCATACAATAATTGATTCATCATCCAAATGATTTCCAAGGGCTAAATTTAACTGAACTCCATACAAGTTTTGTCAAACATATGGAGAGACTTGTTGGTGGATAAAATTGTCAACATAAAATGTGATCTTAAACAAGAATAAAGCTTGGGAATTAAAATGGGAAATAAGAAAAACAAATTAAAAAAAGACAACTTTTTTTAACTGTGACCACTGTGGGGTTCGTCAAAGTGACCAGTAGTAGTACCAGTATCAGCTTGCCATCCAGGGACATTCTCTCCTAACAGGGCAGGCAATGTGTGGAATCCCAGTGCTTTCATTGAAAAGGGTAAACAAGCCGACGACCAAAGACAACCAATTGGCCTACAGACACACAGACAGGGTGAGGGTGGGAGGGAGGGAAGAGTGAATGTAAAATGAGGCAGACTGTATTAGCAGCAGAGTGACATGGGAGTTTTTAGGGAAGTGAGCCAGAGTTTGGGATGCAAGACAAAAGTGGTGTTGGCAGTGTCGTGGTTATGAAACGGGGGCAATGGCCGCTGTTTGATGTGGCTGGTGGGTAATGTTTTGGCGGGAGTGTCTGACAGTCCAGAGTGTGGTTCTGCTGGTGTTTATTAGAGGAGGAGGAGCTCTGATGGTCTGGTCTGTCAGTCTGCCAGGACCACATTCTCACCCTGCTGCTGTTGAAAGGGGCAGTAAAGACATAAACAGGGCCGGTGGGATTAGGGCCCACTCGGAGGAGTGATCTGGGGGGATTTGCTGCCCAGTGGGCACACAAAGGCCCTGCGGCGTAACACACAACACACACTACACATGCTCACCCGCAACGTTTCACAACAGACCCAAGCCTACATAAATCTGATTAGAACTCCCTTTTGTTTGGGAAGCGGCACTGGGGTTAACACAAACGAGCCCAGCCCCAGGCCATGTTTGATAGGACAGGGGGTGTGTGGACATCCGCCGGGTGGCAAAGAAAAAAACATGGAGTACGCTGTGTTGTGGCGGGGTGTTTCCACGTGTGAAGCCCCAGACAGACAGGGAGGGTCATGGCTGTGTGTGGAAGCACAATAACAGGATGAATAAAGGTTTTTTTTCTCCCTGTTCAGTGTGTGTTTGGGTCAGCTGATGATGGTGAATGGAGACAGGATCTAAGCTAACACGAGACAACAACAACATTGTCAGACACAAAGAACGCAAGCCGGTTTGAACCTGCTCAAATAATCTGACTCAGAAACAGAAAAGCAGTGAAACGACAAAGCTCACACAGGCCTCTGCGTAAACTTGAATATCCAATGGACGGCTACCGAAATGTCTAGAACTTTCTTCACATCTCTATCATTCTTCCTTAGTGCCGCCTCTGGCCCAGGCTGCAGCCATGCCTCTTCTGGAAGAGACCACTCTGCCACAAGAGCACCCACCCACTGTCCCTGTGGTCATCATAGGTAAACTTTTCTCCCTTAACCTCCTGACCTCTAATGATTTCACAAGGTTACCCGCACTTGGCCTTAAAGGTGCCAGCACCTTTGCTAATTTGACTTGATCAAATAAAGCCATGTTCTCTTTTGTGATGCCGTTCAACATTTCACTTACACATTTTTAGGTAATGGACCATCAGGAATTTGTCTATCCTACCTACTAAGTGGATACAAGCCCTACCTAGATACAGCAACTGTCCACCCAAACCCGATACTCTATAGGAAACTACAGGAAACCAAGCATCTACCCATCACTGAACAAGTAAAAACAAATAGAAATTCCTTGTATGTATAAAAAAAATGATCATTGTCACTAAGATATGTCATGATAAGGACTTTCTTTTACAGGATCTTGAATATTTGAGCGAAGGTCTTGAGGGGAGATCAGGGAACCCAGTGGCTGTCCTTTTTGACACACTACTTCACCCCAATGCCGACTTTGGCTACGAGTTTCCCCCTGTCCTTCAGTGGAGGAGGGAAAAGCAGCAGCACATCCCACATCTGGTGCTTGGGAGGGCAACACCTGGAGGTGCTTGGCATGTAAGCTACATCCCTTTTAGAAATCCATATCTTCTGTCGTTCAAATGTTTATTTCTATCCTTCTCTTGACATTGCATTTTTCTCAACACTCCCCTTTCTTCCTTAGGCAATGGAAGGATCCATGCTGACTATCAGTCTTGGCATCTGGATGGAGCTACCTGGGGTAAACTACAGAGACTTGACCAATGGGAAACGCAGGTACTGAGAGATGAAAATGTTGACCCCAAAGACATGGTGCAAGTCTAAGTCTAACTTTTACTACCACTTTCTAATCTTCTCTCTTTCTCTCTACAGGGATGTAACCAGCGACAGAGCCACCCCAGAGGAGATCTCATCCTATTACCGTAACTATGTGAAGCTGAAGGGCCTCCAAAAGAATTTTGTCGACAACACCTATGTAACCTCTGTCCAGAAACTTTGCCGGGGGCATGACGAGGAAGGTCTCGAAAATGGGCACACTGATCAAGGAGATGGAGGGGTAGGTGAAGGTGGCAATGAAGGCTTTGAGAGAAATCAAGTTGAATGTCTAAATAAAGAAGTAGGTGGGGCTCTCTGGGAAGTGAGAGGATACCAACAGTTGCAGAACGACGCTCATGTCCCCTTCTCTCTGTTCGCCGAGAATGTAGTTCTGGCCACTGGTGCGAGCGATTCGCCAGTCCGATTAGGTGTTGAGGGTGAGGACCTACCATTTGTATTCCACAGCATCTCAGACCTGGGTCTGGCCCTAAACCGGAGAACACTTGATATGAAGTCTGATCCAGTTTTAGTTGTTGGTGCTGGTTTAAGTGCTGCAGATGCAGTTCTATGTGCCTGTAACAGCAACATTAGAGTGTTGCATGTCTTTCGTAAGAACATAGACGACCAAGACCTCATCTTCAAACAGCTGCCTAAAACCCTGTACCCAGAGTATCACAAAGTCTACAACATGATGTGCTCTCAGACCTACATCAATGTAGCCGCATCCTCCGCTTCTAACAGACCCCAGACAGTGAGTATTGCCTCCTCAGTATGTGCCAAGATGTGCCCAAAGCCCCAACTTGCTGCAGGTAACACCGCTGGTAACTCCAGTGTCAGCCTATTTCCTGACTATACCAGTTTCCCAGAACACTGCGTTGTGTCTTTCCAGTCTGACATGAAGTGCTTGCTTCAGGGGAACAACTCTCTCAAAGCATTCAAGATCTCCATGGTCCTAGTGCTGATTGGGACCAACCCAAACTTGTTTTTCTTGAAGGGGCAAGGCCAGTACCTGGGTCAGGATCCAACAAAACCAATCAGCTGCAAGCAGAACCCTATTGACATCCACCCTTACACTTTTGAGTGCACCAAGGAGCCAGGTCTGTTTGCCATGGGCCCACTTGTCGGAGACAACTTTGTTCGCTTTTTGAAGGGTGGTGCATTAGGCATTGCCTCCTGTCTGCTGAAGAGACTCAAGAAGAAAGGGAAGCTCATTAGCAATGGAGGGAATACTTTCATTTGAAAACATGATAGAGAGAACAGCTGTGAATGCTGGTCGCATTGCAAAGATTACAAGCACTCTCACCATCAAATGTAGGTGGTGAATGGGAAAACAAAAGCTTTTAATATGTTACATTTATTTATGGAGTTTTTCTCATCGAAGCTTTAGCATTTTACAACTTTCCAAGACCAAAAAGACAATGGATGTACACTAATTAGTTTCTAAAGAAACAAAACACAGCTTTCAAGAGTCTTGTCTGACTTCATGAGAAGTCCCTGAAAGTCCAAGCTACCATGTGCCAATGTTTCTGAGTCAATCTGTAACCTCATAACTGAATGGGACCTTATTTTTTAATCAGGGTTATTTATTTGTTAAGTATGTGTCTTTCAATTTAATTAACTTTCATGTCTTTAATGGCTGTTTTAGCCCAGTTCAAGTCATAGACTGTATAGAACATGGATGTAGTCTCAGCGATATCACTTGTTGGTAACTGAAGGGATGTTTTGAAGCCCATGGATGGCGGGCCTTCCGCCTTCTAGCAAACTGCTACAATGCGTCCACTTGCAGTCACATTAGCCAAGCCCCTAGTTATTTATAACTCATATTCTACTAACTTGTTTTTGTCCCTTGTTGTTTACATGGTAAATTCTTCTGTCAACATGAGCATTTTAACATTATGTGACTTCTGGGGCTTGGGGGCTAGACTCAATTGGACACTTGATGAACTGCAGTGTTTTGCACTTCTGCATTGGCTTCATTTTATAACACCGGAGGTTGCCGCTTGCTTCAGGTCTTATGTTAGCCTAGCATTAAGAGTGAGAACTCCAAAAAAATGTAGAGGCCACTACCGTCATTCTGCATGAAACTTTTAGTTAAATGTGTAAGCAGTGGACACTAGTAGAACAACCAGTGCTCTCACTTACAAAGTCACAATCATCTGAACTTTAAGTAATACCACCTCAAGTGGTGAATGTTTGCAGTAGTGAATGCTCACTAGATTTTAGAAAGTGGGACCCAAGTTCATGGCTAAGCAATGTAAATGTTCCTGTATATTCTGAGCCCAACAGTTTTTTTAAATGCAGGTGAGTCATTTTAGCTGCTATTGTAGGTAGTTGGAGCAATACTATTAAAAACTTAGTAAAGCCTATTACATTTATACTTTTTCCGTTGCTTTGGAGTTGTACTACTGAAAGGCTATCTATGCAAATCAAATATGTTTTCTTAGGCACCCATTTCTTTTTTATTTTGGTTAAACAAAAACATCAGGAGAGACACAACAGGAAGTCACATCGTTTGCTAGCCCTGCATACGACGTTTTGATGATAGCAGAGGTGTAGAAGATTAGCCTGCCAATAACAAAAAATGTGACTGAAGATATGCTCCCATTAAGTTTTGTGGAAGGATAAGGCAACGTCAATGGGAGTAGAAAAGACATTCTGTCGACAAAGTGGCTACAGTGTCTGTTAGACACCTCTAACAACAGAGTCATTTGTTATCAGCACTTATCATAATATTCAGAACTGGGATTTGATGAAGATTTGCAAGTGATCGATTACTCGTTCATGAGGTATTGAGAGTTCTCAAATATTAAAATGACATAAAATGCCCACCCTTAACATCTAGCAATTACCAGGTCAGACTTCTCCAACAAGAGTAATTGATTTTTTTTTAAAAACCCAACTTCACATATTCAAAAAAAAAATTCTTCTTCCATATTTTCGTACAGCTTCCAAGCGTCAAGGACACAAAAGTGTAGTCAGGTTTGGAGCAGTGACAGTAGCAACCTATTCTTCTTTCCTCTATATTTTCCTTCCTTTTCAGTCATTTAAACATTGTGTGCAGGATTGTGATGTGTTATGCATAATTATTATTTTGTGTGCCGCTCACGCACAGCTCATGGTTTGTTTATTGTGATGTGACTCTTTGATCCCGTTGATGGAAGACTTTTCTTCTGCACCCCACAATACAATATGGGAGACAAGTCAGTATTTTAGGTAATGCATCTCTGTAGTCACATTATTTTTTTCCACTAACATCGTAGTTTAACATACTGCTGTATACATTTTGGTAATGATATAACAGAAAACTAGTTAAAATGTTGTTTATTATGTTGAATACTGAATTTCAGTTGAATTATTCCTTAGTACCTTTTGTTTGTTTTTGATATACATTTTGAATTTATGCATGCAGGCATGAGCCATTGCCTAGCAGTAGCTGCTGTGAGCAGAAGACAGACAAGTGCTTTGAGGACAAACAAGAAACAGGACACTGCAGTGGAGACAGGGTGAGAAAAAAAAAAGTGAAGATTTCATTTTGAGTTTACTTTAAGGAAAAATTAAAACATGATCCTGTTGTACTTAGGTCAGACACAACTGCTCTCAAAATCCAAGACCAATCTTCACTTGGATAGATTTATAGTGTGTCCATCCATAAACTTCTGTATAAGAATAGATACGCCTTTTTAATTTGAGTACTGATTTGTAAGAATTTCTTAAGCAACTTGCAAGTAGAAGTAGAAAATTTGCTTTCAACACAAAGTAATGGGCAAAATATTCTGATGCAAAATGCAGAAAAAAAATGTGACCAATGGTTCCTTTATGAAAAAAAAAACATTTACTTATCACTGCACAACTTATGCTGAATGCTGACTCGCAACTCATAGATGGCACTTGCCTTGATGGTAGATATTCTGGTATGACAACTACTAATCTGAGCTATTTCAGATCGGTAAAAGTGCCTGTAGGGTTGGCTGATGGGTATTGTTTAAGAAAAGGGGGCAACATGAATCCTTTTTAAAAGTTTGTAGTTCAGCCAACAGCAGGAAACCCATTTGGTCTTAACTTCAAAACAAAGGACTCTGCTTTCAGCATGTGGAGTTTTAATACTCTCTTGTACAATGGAAGAGTTTTTAAAGTTTTGTATGACAATTTTTTTTATCATTGACAAATAAAAATACGTAGAAAAAAACCCTCTGAACGTGAGACTGTTTTATTACATTTCCTGGTGTCAGCGGCTTCATTAGTGAAGAGTATGCACAAAACAACAGAATAAGAGAACAGGAAGAGCGCAACATTGGCAAACAACTCCAATCCGTTTATATTACAATCATGTAACGAACATGAACTATGCTAACTACATTCATTAGCATTATAGCTGAAATGCAGATGCTTAATAAAGTGTCGTAGGGTTTGACATACATCCTTGCCTTTTTGAAAATTAATTCACTCTGCAGGATGTCAACATGGAGGCGACTCATCTTCTCCTGGTGAATTTGGTCGGGTTGTACCTAAAGACACATATGCACACAGAGAAACACAACATTTGATCTCATAGGTCTGTCCAAGTCGAGATGGGCTTTTAACATTCCTCATGGATCATTCCTCAATGTCCTTAGATGCATTTTGAACAAACCATAAAAAGAGTCCAAATGAAGGGCTGTTAAACATGGAAAGTGTTTGAACAGCTTAAAGCAAACAGGCTTCCTATAAAGCACGTCTGGAAACTTCGTTCAGACCAACCAAAAAACATACCGGATTGTTTTCTTAGTGGCAGAGTCTGTTCTCTGGCTATGCATGACTGACTGAGCATGACTCAGTGATCAAACAAATAAGCTCTCTTACACGCACGCACGCACACACGCACACACGCACACACGCACACTCAATATCAGACCATCTTTTTTCTGCTTAGTCAAAGAAAAAATGGCAATGGCCGCAACAGGAGCTTACATCACCTCTGTTTCCTAGGTAACCACTATGACAAAAATATTTACTCTGCTCTGATTGGTCAGACTACAGCTGAAGAGGTCCAGTACACATGATTCCAGTTAACTATGTTGTTTTTACCAGACGATTATGATAAGACCTTTACAGACAGACTTCACCAGAATGATTACAAAGTGAGGATGTTTTTAATGCAACAATAACTCCAGGACACATTTTTTGTATGTGTAAACTTACTTGGAATAAACCGTTTGAATTCAGACAACACTGTTTCATATGTTAATGTCTAACCCATTGATAAGTAGTTAAAATAGTTTGGGAATTCACAACTCAACATGTGAACCTTGATTAGATGTGACTGTGAGTCTTCCTTTACAAACCTCCCAAGGTTTAAGAGGAAGCCGCTAAGGGGGTAATTAGCTCATTATGCATCATTGAGAACATGACGGGATCCTGTTTCTCACCTGAAGAGGTCATCTCCAACACTCTCGTCCTGCTTGCTCTGACGCTCCTCCTGAAACAAACACAGGTTCAGATTATGTATAATGACTCACACAGTTGGCGGACAGATGACAGAAACAATGGGACAGCAGTACCTCCGCTGCATCTTTCAGCCATTCATCCAGATCAGAGTTCTTGCCCCTGTTATGAACCAGCAGATCGGAGCCTCCGATGATGTGGGTTAGCGCCTGGCCCTGTGCACCTGGCACATTCATCTGTCACAATCACACAACCAAATCCAGATTAAAAAACATAACACAGTTTTTGTTCTACATAAAGCTGTTTCTTTAAGTCCCATCACTATAGACACAGTTTTAATCAGGACATACACCTCTCAGCTCTCAAGCTTCAGTCACTATAAATGGAAATGTATGAAGGAAGATATCACTCATTAGTGTGCCTGGAGGGAAAAGAGAGTCACTTTAAAAAGAAAAAAATGCCCTCAGAATTAAATGACCCCATTTATTTTGGGTAAAATGGCTGATATTACATTTTTTGTTCATCAATAACTTTAGTGCCTGAAAGTGATTTGTTCCCTGCATTTGAGAGGGTGTGGACATTTTTTTCCCCTTTTTGAATAAATGTTATTCAAGTTAAGTCACAGGTGAGCTGTATAATAATCATTAAAGGACAACGTAATTACATCGAATGTACAGCGCCTGTAAAGAGCTTTATAAAAACTCCTCATTTAAATTTCAAATGAGGCTCTGAGTGTGTGTGTGTGTGTGTGTGTGTGTGTGTGTGTGTGTGTGTGTGTGTGTGCACTCTAACCTTGCGGAAACGTTTGAAGTTCTTTGTGAAGCCATTGTCCGTCATCCTCTGTGGTTTGTTTTTGGGAGTAACGGTGACAGTGAGGGATCGGAACTCCACCAACACCAGCTTTTGAGGAAGGTCTTCATCAATCTTTGACTCCTCCTGTGAAGCAGCACAAAGACGTTTTATCTCGTGGGCTTTGATATTCATTCTAGCAAACATAAAACATTTGATGGAATATCAAAGAAAACATTATTTAAGTTATTTAAACAACAGCAGCAGGATGTTCAGACAGTTGGGCAGATTCTCTTCTATGAATGTCACTACTCACAGACCTTCTGAGGATTTCCATTATTATAGTGCTGCCCTGCAGTGGGTATCAGGCTGTGCTGTCTCTAATGCACTTTAGTACTGTAGTACCGCTACATACGAGATATCTGAAGAAGTAAACTCTGAAATGTGTGTTGATGCACAGCCGTTTGAGCCTCAGTGGAGACTAAGCATCAAAACTTGCGCTGCACCATTTGGTTTATATTCTGTCCTGAATCTTTTAGAGTCACAATAAAAAAAATGTGAAAGGACGATTCTGACAAAAAAATACATTAAGACAAAAAGCATCCAGGTACAGAAAGAAAATGCAGATTATTCAAAGGGGGGAGAGAGTTACATAAACAGTAAGAAGTTTTTTACAGGACTCACTTGGACCTCCTGTTTTATCATTACAGGCTTTAAAGGCATCGGTTTCTCTTCTTTGGGCTGGCAGATGTCTCCCTTGAGTTGATTCAAATCCTACAGCGATACAGAGGATGACAAATGGTCGTGGTATGAGTGAAATATATTTTTTTATAAAAACATGATGTGAAGAAAGAAGTGTGTATATGCTGAGAAAGTTCATGTGGAAAATCATTTAGACTAATAACTGGATGAAGACAAAAATATCGACTTAAATAACTTCTCACCTTAAGAAATGCCTCGTCATCTTCAAAAGGCTCTATTTCTTTACTTAGCACTTTTGCAGCTACACTGGACTCATGATAAGATTTCCTGTACTCAGGACTGACCCGCTCTGTCTTGATGGAGGTTATATTTCCAGATGGTTTATTGTGTTGCATTTTGGAACCTGACTCCTCTTGCAGGCTTGTCTGAGGCCTTTCAATTCTTTCATGTTCTTCTACATCGATCCGTTGCCTCTTGCTTATTGATGAAGTCTTCCCAGTATTCACAAAGTGTTTCTGTTCCGTTGAGCTGATTGTTACACTCCGGGCCTTCTCTACTCGTTTACCTGATGGAGGTTCATCAAAGAAGTCCATATCCTCGGACATAATAGACTCCAGTTCATCCATTTGTATCTCTGCTTCCATCTCCTTCCTCTTCCCACTCCGTGGTCCATCCTGGATGGAGTGGGAGACCCTGTGTGACTCAGCCTCTGGCGGTACTACAAAAAGATCTCCTGCTGACTCCTGAGAAGTTACTGCAGGGACTCTCTCTGAACGCGAGCTGCTTTCTACGGAGGAGTGTTGTTTCTGTTGCGGGTGGATGATTCCAGTACTGGTCGTTTGGGCTCTGACATAACAGCAGAGAGATCGTCCTCCATAGGTCTTGATGACATATGACACAAAGAGACAGGTCAGAAAATACCTTCACCTCACTCACACTCACACAGTAACAACACTTCAGGTGAAAGACCGCAAAAAGACTACAAAAGACAACAGAAAGGTCAGCACACTCAATGTCCTTTAAAGTATGTATTATCTGGGAAGAGCAGCAGATAATACATACTGTCCAGAACATTGAGTGTGCTGACCTTTCAGTTTTCTTTGAAGTATAAAACCTCCAGCCTGTAAAACACAACGCTTTGCTGCTAAATTTGAGGATCAGATTAATTTACTGTAACCATCATGAGTCTTTCAATGTCACATCAGTGCAAACAGATTTGTATCCTATTGTGCAAATATAAATACTGATACTTGATATATAAACACATGTTGGATACTCTCTAATTGGAACGATACCTAATGGGTGCTGTTGCCTCATTGTTTTCCCTTCATTCCACTATGACATGAGGAGACTTTTGCTGAGACTAAACCAGACAAAACCACTACACTGTCGTAGTCATGGTCCCTGAGATCGTTGTAAGCTAAATGTGTGTTGGTGTCATGGAGTAAACCAGTTTTACAGTTAAAGCGCTGAATCGTGATATGTTCCTCTAATCCACCGAGTAAGCGTTTACCTTTTCTTGTTGACAGGTTGAAAGAAAGTGGTCAGGGTTGACTGTTTCTGTGGGGAAGCTTGTGCAGAGACTCTTTGTTTCTGAGGAGATTCCTTCTGCAGGAATGTTTTTATGGGCTTTGGAAAAGATGGCTGGGACAAAAGGCCACCACTGCTTTCACCTGAAACTGGAAAAAAAACAAAACAATTACTTATGATCTGATACAGCATTACAGGCAGTCAGCACATGCTTCTATGGTGAATAAATTCAAGGGATGAGAGTTACAAAGGAAATGGAAATGCTATCTTAACCGTACTTTTCAATCTAATAGGCAAAGAGGTGGAGCTGAGAAGAGCCTGAGTCTTCTGGCAAACAGCTATGATGCTCCTATCTGTCAGTCAACTCAGCCATGCCCCTAACTATACAAATTTATGAATCACTCTTAGGCTTAGTAATTAACGATTTCTTTGCTTTTTGCAGCCAGCCTCAAGTGGACACTCTGGGAACTGCAGTTTTTTGCACTACTGCATTGGTTTCATTTTTCCAAGACTTGGCTAGAAGGCATGTTTCACACAAAGTTTAAATATTAATTCAACAAATAGACATTGTGTGCCTAGCCGCAGTAGTACACACGGCTATAAAACATGTCTGAAGCAAAATCAATCAAATGTAGATGGACCATTTGTACTTTAAGAGGCATCAATCTAGATGACTAGATCAGTTCTGGCATTTTTTTAAAGGTTTGTTTTGGAGCTTTTTCTGCCTTTATTTAGAGATAGTACAGGGGAGAGAGTCAGAAATGGTGGAGAGCGAGAGAGAGGGGGCTAACATGCTGGAAAGGAGCCACATGTCAGGACTGGGCCGCCCGCTTGGAGGACTACAGCCTCTGTACGTGGGGGGTGCGCTCTAACCATAATGCTACCGGCGCCCCCTGAATGTTGCTATTTTGTTACTTTGTACAAGTAAAACTAAATAAACAATTTGGAAGTAGTTTTTTTAATTACTAAAGCCAAAAAATACTTTTGAACAATGGAGAACTAACTCTAGTAACTTTGTCTGTTTACTCAATCGTGAAGAAGTTACATTTTGAAAAAGAAAAAAGGTGTGTAGTTCTGCTCAGGCTCCATGTTGTGTTTCACAGAATAATCTGATCAGGATTATGCTGAGACAGCAAATTTAACACAAAGCAGAGATCTGGTATTTGTATTTATAAATCTTAACTACCTGTCGGTTTGGACTCAGGCCTCTTCCTCTCTAAGTCAGTTTTCTCAAAAGTGTTGAATGATGAGCTCATCGTGTCGTCCACGACACACTGTCTGGTCTTCTTCTGCGCTTCAGGTTTGGATCCACCAAACTGACTGCTCTGCTTCTTCTCAGGAGTCTCCCCCACTGCTGTCACCTCTGTCACTACACATCGCTGCGTCCTGGATGATAAAAAAGATATATAACACACATCAGTCTGAGTCTTTCTGTAACAAACTGCAGAGTACAAAGTTTAAAGAACTGAAACACATAACAGGAATCTGCCTGAGTATGTGCTGGTACCTTTGGGATGTGTCTGTGTTCGCTGCATATGCTGTGATGTTCTGAGATGCAGCAGGTAACACTGTCTCATCCACTGCTACGCTTGAGACAGCGAAGCACTTGGAATTCTGGTTGGAACTTTTGGAGCTGTCTCTAAAACGTGAACAAAAACAAAAATCAAAGATAAAATGTTACCTGAAGAAACCTTTGTGTGAATTAGAAAAAATAGAAAAAATAAGAAAGCACTGTGTTTTTTTTCTGTCTGGTCACCAACCTGAGACCGGTATTAGACTAGATGGATTGCAGTATTTGTCACAGGAAGCATAGATGGCAGCCAAACCAATTTCAGACTCTGTGATGACTCGGAGGCCTTTTCTGTGTCATTGGAAAATGAAATGATGAATGAGAGTTGGTTTAAAGTTTACACAATCATCACCGTGATGGGGTTAATCACCAAAACAAAACTTTGAGTGCTGTTTTACAGAGAATCTGTACCAAACCTTTGAACAATATTCTTCACAGAGTTTGCCCACTCATTAGCAGAGGAGGGCAGCAGAGTTTGGGAGCTGCCTGTTGAAGTATCCACTACACAGCTCTGCTGAGACTCCAGCAGGTCTGTGGGCAGACGGTTCTCCTCCAGCAGTCGACTTCTGCCACCTCCAAAACTCACTGCTGTACTCAGGCGCTTCATCTGCAAACGACATCGACACAATTAAACACACAGTATGGCTGTACAGCAGTTCAGAGATACTCTCTGAGTGGCTGTGTGTCTCATGATGACAAAATTTGTAGTCGTACCCCAAGATATAAAAATCTAGATATGTTTTGATCAGCAGTTTTCATACTTGTCGTCAGAGCAGAACAAAAAACTGCTGGCGTAAACTTTCACAGATAGAGAAAGAATATTATTGGATCTTGTATTTTATTTACTTTTCTATGTATGGAGATGTTTTAAAAAGTTAATTGGCAGCGTAGATTTGTTTTTTTATAGGCTAAAAAACAAACAAAAAAAATTATATAAAACTATATACAGTATGTAGCGACCTTCTGCTTAGACCAAACTGAAGCTGAATGGCTAAAAAGGATTAATGAACACGGGTTATGGTTGCACTCCAGCCCTCTCTTGCTGAAAATCGTCAACTAAAAATCAGCATGATAATTGTATAGGAGTTATTTGTTTTTTTGTATATGGTTTTCTTTGTAAACACCAGGGGGCAGCGGCCACCTTGCCAAGCACTCAGGCTGAGGGGAACCGTTTAAATGTGGAAGGTGTGTCACTGTGAGGTGATGCCCCAGGAAGGGAAACAGGTTTTGAAAGGTTAATGAGACGTGGCACAAAATGTTTGTTCGTTTTGCATCATCATGAATTAAAGAAACGTGATTAAAGAATGGACACTTCTTATTCCCTGCATAAGGACCAACTGGAACGGTGCATCAGTGGCCATTTGTTAACTGTAATCATTTTCGTAACATCTTTGTTTTCTGACAAATAGCCGAGATATAATGTTTAAGTTTGCACCGAATTTTTAACCACCTCATTGTTTCAATAAACTGAGAAAAAGATGTCACGTAAGCCACTCTCACATACGCACTCCTGAACATTTCCAGATAATTTCTCAGGAGTAGTGCCACTGAAATCCTCCTGATGTGGTTGTTCACATCACAGCGGGTGACTATCCCGGAGTTTTGTGCAACTGTGAAAACAGAAGATTTGCATACTTATTTACCACCTGATTTTCACCAAAGACAAACAAAAAGGAATTAAGAAGAAAGATTATTAAGCTGGCTCAGCATATATTTAACATTTTTTAGAGGTATGGCTATGGGAATTTAAAAAACTAATTTCCCATAACCAGTCTTATCATGCATAGAATCATGTATGTACAGATGGGGGGATAAGAGAACGAGGGATAAACAAACAAACAAAGGGAGACCTTTTTTTTTTTTTTAACTTGTTCTTAAACTTTAAGCACTGGAGAAAAAATGATTTAGATCTAGCAGATCAGATTCCATACTCAAATTATCCATAGAAATCACCAGAAAAGTATTTATTCATACAGAATACAGATATTCTATAATGGTGTTGCTAAGGTACACCTACTGTACATCTTCAAGCTTAGAAAATACAGACACACTCTCTCATAACGTCATGAAAGTCTCACTTAACATTTCAGCTGGCTATGTAAAGCAGGGATGCAAAGACGAGGTGATGACTCGTGTAAGTGGCCAAAGGAGCCTATTTTGGTTGTTTGTTGTTGCTCCACCCCGGAACATGAATTACAGGTTTTAGTGCATGAGTCACACTCAGCTTGTCACTCACGGCGAGCAGGCAGGGGGGCTTGAGCAGAGTTACGTATGTGCACGGCTAATTTGTTTGTAATGGTCAACTGTTTTTTTTTGCTCCAAACGCGACACTAAAACAGGGTTTTATGGTTTACCATTAAGCATGAAGGTTCAAAGGTTTATGGAGATAGCTGTGTCCAAAGATGAAAGTTTGCACCCTTGGCAAGCGGAGCGAGGTATGTGCGTAATTTGTGAAGGTGTTAATTGAATGATTTATGAATGAATTGGGAGGTTCCCTACTATAAGGGATTGTGCAATATTGTTGTAAGTGTTTAATGTGATGCGCTGTGTGTTTGAATCAGGCCTGTTGTGATGTGGATGTTATTGTTTGTGTTTGTTTAAAGTAAAATGTTGCACTGTGAAATGTTTGCTTAGGAATGAATATTTATATATCTGTAATGAATTGAACACACTGTTTTCTGAATGTTCATTTTGGCTTTATTTTGCCTTTTTTCTAGTTTCACGGTGCTCGAAAAGAAATAAATAAATCGCATCAGTCGAACTCCACGCTTCCTCATATGTTGTCTTGGTCGAGGGCTGCTACAACTAGAGTGCTTCACTATCCTATTTTTACCCCCTAAAGTTGTTCATGTGAATGTGAACATATGAGTAGAAATCAACAAAGGAAAAACATTACACACAACAAACTGTTTTTCATACTATTTTATCAATAAGGAAACTAAGGAAAATGCTGCCCCTAATTATGTTTCATAACCTGCACATGTCCTCTGTCAAGCCTCACCTGCAGCTTTAGATTCTCATTCATGCATGACTCATGTCGATATTAAGATGCTGAGAGTTTATAAATTCAGCAGAAACAGCAAAACAGATCATTTTGAAATGATGAGGGTCTCATTAAAGCCTATTTTTTTTCTAATGAAGTGAACAATCAACCAGAAAATATCTCATCAACAATGAAAATCATTTAAAGCTGCATCTCTTCTCTGGAGCCCTGAGTCCCCAAGTCCCCGGATCTCTAGTCTACCGACTGCCTGGCAACTGATGTTTAGCTCATAAACATGACACTCATGTGATCACCTGTAAACATCCCGACTGGAAAAAAAAGTTATATTTTTAATAAAGGTGTGTTATTGACTGGCAGCAGAGGATTACTGCTGATAACATGAGATCCTGCTTTTCTTGTTTTAATTTTCAGATCATAAAAACAATACGAGGTTACAGAAAAACACAAGTTAACATACCTGTTTAGCACTGAGGAAGACGAAAGTCTTTCCAGCAAAAAGCTGTTTGCGAAGTTCAATCGCTCCAAGGTTGACATCCTCTTTACTGAGGCTAGGCTCATCGATCTCAGGGATGAAACTTAAATAGAAAAAAACAGCACAGATAAGATCGTGTTTGGTACAGTGTGAGGTCCGTCTACTTAAAGATGGATTGTGTTGTACCTCTCAGCTTTAGGAGGAGGTTTTTTTTGCTGAGCGGCTTTGCTGAGTTCTGAGAAGAACTCTGGCTTCACGATGGGACGGCAGCACAGCAGAGCAGAGATAGTCTATGAGAAAAGGAAACAAGAAAACATTTTTAATCAATGCAACGACGAACACATCACATGTGCTGGTCAGGAGGATTCACAGACGAGTCCTGACCTTGATGGTGACTTTAGCAGTGGGCATGACCAGGTGGGTGCAGTCCTCAGTCCAGGTGTTGACCAGATTTCCACCCAAAGCCGACAGAGCCTGAGAGAGTGATGCTTTGCCATCATTGTCCAAACATGATGAACACACCACCGGCTTCAAATGGACCACACTGAGGAGAATCAGTGACAACAGAGGAGATTTGTATTAATTGTGAGTGACATTGGACCTTTTCTCAGTTTGGGTCAAATAAAACTAAGATGGAATGCAACTTGAAGTAAAAAAATAAAGTTTAGTTAAATACCTGAATTTACTGTGGAAAACCCCAAACGTGACCTCGTCCCATGACTTCAGGTTCATTGGTGTGTTTTCTTTCAGACGCTGGCTGTTGACAAAGGTACCATACTTGGAGGTGTCTTTCAGAGTCAGTGTCTAGGAATGAAGTAAGAGCAACTCATTAAATCGTCCACAAACAAACCACTCCACATGCTCTATATGTTTCTGAATAATTAGGCATATCTTAAATGATAAACCCAACCTTTGAATGAAGCCTAAGATTGTTTTCCTTGATGGAGGAGGGAAACAAGTATGAGCCAGTTGGAAAGGATCGTGATTGTGTAGTTCCAGTTGTGTTGGACTGGTGCAATAGTGTCACCTTCTGAGCAGAAGCACCAACACACAGGTAAACATTGTCCAGGAGCGAGTAAAAGATGACCAGGGGTGGGGGACACGTCAATGTAAGATGTTGATTCATAAGAAAATATTCACACTCATAGGAGACGATCCACTATATAAACCGTACGCACGGCAAATGTTAATATTTCATTATGGTGCAATCCAGTTCAAAACCAATAAGTGAAAATATTATATGATGACAAGGATGAGAAATACTGTTTGTGATGGTGAGTAAAGGATGATAAGGGAGAGTGTGCTTATTAAGTGAAAGATGAAGTGTAGTTTTGTCAGTGCTGGAGGATCAGTAAGAGTGTCTATTAAAAATAGTGTTTTATGGCACTTACATTTCTTGATGCAAGACACAATAATACTCATGTATGTTCAACATTTCTGTGTTACCTCCGCGTACATCCTTCTGCTTTAATGTGTGAATGAGCTGATGAGCTCGTTTGAAGAATACATCAATAAAATGATGTATGAAGTAAAGTAACCAGCAAGATAATAATAATAATAATAATGCATTGCTTCGTACAATTTCAATGAGTACTAGTGTGTTGTTTTCCTGCCACATTAAGTTATGCTGACCTCATCCTCTGTAATAGTTTGAGTTGAATCTTTATTGGAGGGTAGTCTCGAGAGATCAACACACAGATTTACTAGAATGAGTTTAAATGTTGTTGTGAATAATATCAAAGCTTTTGTCATTTTGATTTCTGATTAAGTCTGATTCACATCTTTGTACTGTGAGCTTTAGGTGCAAAATGAAATCAGTGAGATTCTGTTTCCATCTCAGTACAGAAACAAGTGAAAGACATGCATGTATTGATTTCAGCCTCTTATACCTGTGGAATAAAATTACATACTTTCTATTGAATTTAGGATTGCATATAATCATGAATGTGCAAAAGCCCTAATATGAAAGTTATGTTACATAAAAGCTGAGTAAACTGTTCATCTAGAGCACTGCAGATTATGTTGAACAATTTTAGTTCTTTTAAATAACAAATAGTTTAATGAATGAACATTTTTTGTAATGATTATGTCTTCATGTCTTCGTCTCACCTGGTCAGCAGCAGTGAGGTGAGCGTGAGCCCTGCTGATGGACTGGTCGCTGGTTAGGATGATGTCACAGTTCTTGCGTCCCACCACATACTCCTTACTGGACACAAGATAGTAGGTCTCACCTGTTGAGAGACAGGAGGGACAGGAGGAACATTATGGACCTTCTATTGTAAAATCATCATCATTCATGACAAGATGAACAAATATTTAAACATTTAGTTATTTTCTTAATGTTTGCCAAATGCCAATCATCTATACAGATATATATGTTTATGTGTGTGTGTACACGTCTAGTGTCTCCTGCATCAATGTGAACAAGATTTGTATGAAACTGAATATGTATTAGAAATGTGAAGGAGTAACATTTCACATTAAATGACACTTCAGATTTCCATTTTCAAAAAGTTAATCCCGTGCAGCCTCCACCCTTCAACATTTCATTTTAAGGGACACTTCGATAGTAAAGACTTTGACTACATACATAACTAAAAACCAAAACCAAAACCAAAACCATAGTGATCGTCATGCAGGTTACATTTCTGCACTTTATAACTAACTTGACCAATGCTTTAACATTGACCTGCTAGCTGGCGTTAAAGGTCATCCAACGCACAAAAAGTTACCTTCAGACTGCAGGGGTGTCAGTATCCACATTTTAATGTATGCTGATGCTATTTCATTTATTAAACCACCTGAAACTCAGAAGAAAGGCGGCATTTTAGAGAAACCAGTCTATTTGCAGTGAGTAACAACAAGGCGTGGGCACTCACAGCAGCGCGCCAGCGTGTGACGTAAAAACCCTGCGCCGCTGCTTTCCCTTTCAAAATAAAGTGATGCAACTCATCCATCAAAGTTAAGTGTTAAACTATGTGTTATTATAACTTTTTATGCAATGGTGTACATTTCTGAAGAAAATTAACAGTAATACTTCAGCACTTGTTGAGAATTTCCAGTTTTTGCTACCTCAATCCTCAACTCCACCACAAGATAAAGATATTAAGATAAAGATATTAAGATAAAGATATTAAGATAAAGATATTGTGCCCTACTTTTTCCACCCCCGCATTGAACTGATAAGAATAACTACTTTGCAGATTATCTATCAAATATCAACAATTAATTCACTTATGTTCTGCCTTTCTATATTTTGATGCATCTACTTTAATGCGTTTAGTTTAGAAACATGTTTTATCCTTTAACTTTGGTTTCTTTACCTGTGAAACGGAAAATAATAACATCACCATATTGTTGTTTTTTCTGTCCCGAGTCATCTATTTGTTTGCAGATATTTATTGCTTTGTCAAATATGCTTTTAAAACATATTGAATTTTGTTTGAATTCCCCATTTCTTATAACAAGGAATTTATGTAACAATAATATAACAATATAACAAAGTAAGTATAAAACCACAAGCAGCACAATGTTAGACTTGCAATTTTATTCAGTCATAAATCTTGAACCATTAACAAAAGGAACACTCAGACAGTGGCAACAACAACAGTACAAGTAAAGATATTAAATGACACATAGAAACAAAGCTAAAATGTGATTCCTAAGGGGTTTTAAATTTTAGAATACTTACAAACCTTATGCCACAATTATACCCATATTATTAATAAACTGATTTCAAAATAAACATAATATATTTCTTTATTGCTATTTTCTTATATATTTTGCTTAATACTCAAAATATTGGATCATTGTCAGACTTCCATGGTTGTCCTGAGGCTGTTCTGAGACGGCCTCGTCCCCAGAGGCAGGGTAGTTTTCTGTTGACCCTCATCACTGCAACACTTGTACAAGAGTCCGGTTTACGGATGATCTCACACCAGTCAGGATAGTCCACAGGTTTAGATTCACTGCAGGGCAGAGCAGAGTTACAGAGTATATCCAGGATGCAAATGAATACTTTTTGGGATGACTGAACATTAAAAAAATTCAAACTCACTGGTCACAGCATCCTACTCCGAAGGGCTCCATGCAAACACACTGGTAACAGTCGCTGGTTAACCAGCTCTCGCCAATATCATACACCTTTCCCATGTGTTCACAGCTCCCTGCAAATTAAAACCCAGAATTATTGTGACATATTTGTGAGTCCCTGGAGTGAAATAACTAACACAACTTGTTAAAGTTAAGCTTTAAAAATAGTCCTTAGGTAGTAGTATATAAACAATCAGCTAAATATACTTTAAATAGTAATCAATGATACTAATCCATACATTGCGTAATGTTTACAAATTTCAGATAATTGTCCTGTTATAATTATAGTTTAGTTATGTCTGATCCATTGAGCTTTTTGATTACATATTGCTACGTATTTTTTAATACAAGCATAAAATATTATATAATTTGCAAAAACAATTGAGCCTGTAAAGTCAAAAGCTGCAAGCCAATGAACGGATGTTATTTCCACCCATTCCCTCTTTAGAAGAATGAAATACAATATCAGAATAAAGTGACATAAAAGTACCTCAAAATGTTGTCCATTACTTTCTCCACTGGCCATGTACACATTATATTCTATTGGAAACATTCATATAATCACAAACACACATGAACACTTGACACAATGTACCTTTTGTGTTAAAGAAACACTCTCCACTGTTGTACACAGAGAAACATGGCACACTGGCGCTCAGGAACAACAGAAAAGCCAACAGCACTCCTCCTGCTGTGTGAACCATGTCTAAATAATCAAATAAGCAAAATGACTGGTAAATCAACATTAAATACGAATATCTAATAACTTAATTTGACAATGATCAGATAGTTGATCTTACCTATTTTAAGATTTCCAGTTTGTGCTTTGAAGAAGTATCCTTCCTGTTTTCTCTTTTAGTCCTTTCGCTCTGTTCCCCTTGGTTTTAGTCTCGCTCTTGTTGTTTCCTTTCACTCTTCTCCCCCTTTTCCGTGCTCTCCTCGTCTCCTCCTCAGCGCCACTCTTGGACTGATGCTCGCTCTCCTTGCGCTCAGATATTTATACTGAACATCTTTAACTCCGCTCTTATTCCTACTTTCAATAATGCTATTTGCCCACCAAACCCCACCCTCCTTCACCCACCTACTCGTTAATTACCACCCTATATCTGCACACACACATACAACATGCAGACACACATGCAAGCATTATTGTAACAATGTTTGTCATTCTCATCCTTTACTGCTTCACTGAAATTGCCCTAGAGTATACAGTGTGCACTCTTTCAGATAACATTTGTCTCATGGTGGGCTTTTTGACCTATCAGTAGATCTCACTGGTGACACCATGCTTGGGACAACAGGCTGTGGCCTATTGTCCTTCACAGGAGCCACATGCATGTGTGTGTGTGTGTGTGTGTGTGTGTGTGTGTGTGTGTGTGTGTGTGTGTGTGTGTGTGTGTGAGTGTGAACCTTTGACCCCCACAAATGTCCAGACGCATGTGAATACATTTAACTGTAGCATTTGATGAAATTATGTTTTAAAACGAAATTTAAAAAAGCTATTTTTGTAATGGTTTACATGTTGAAGGTTTTTTTTTCTGCAATGATGGAAGAGGCTTGCTAAACTAAAATAAGAATCACAAAGGTTAAAAATAAGAAATGATGAGTAAAAGTCCTATATGAAGGTAAATCACAGCACTGTTAGAAAATTGTATCAACAGTATCAAAGTAAATGGATTCAAATGAAGATTGGCTTATTTCAAGAGTTATGTAATTCTTTTTTACTGTTTTACCACAAATGAACACATTCATATGCATTTTATTGCATAGATGGTAAATGAGAGACTATTTCAGAACTAAAAACCTAATTACATAATAATAACAAACATAGTTAAAAGTAAAAAACAAGAGCAACTGCATTGACTGCATGACAGTTAATGTAAAATGTAATATTCCTTATCATCAAATTAATTATTGAACCATTAAGCACAAAATTCAAACGTATACCTTTTTTGTGTGTTTGTTTTCTCTTTAAGATAAAGTGCTTCCTGACCAATTAGATGCTTTATATTTATGCATGTCGACTATAACTGTTATATCCCAAGTGACATGTTAGCTTCACCAGGTCTTTACATTCAACCTGAGGACTTACTCTGCATTTCTAGTTGCTGAGGATAACCCAGTCAGCTGAAATATAGTTTGTTAGTACTCAACCAAATTCTTGCTAGGACTTTGTAAAACATGTACTTGATTAAATGGGATCTGTCTTTTTTTCCTGACTAATGATTACGCTCATTGATGCACATCGTTTGCTTAATTCAATTTCATATGATGTTGTTATTTAGTCATCGAGCAAAGAGCATGACTGTTAATGCAGTGTTACATGATTCACTGAACTGCAGTTTCATTTCTCCAGTAAATGTCGCCTTAAAGTTTTTATTTTTCATATCAATCCAAAATGGGTTTTTTTTCTTCCTCCTAACTCAGTGTAAAAATACCCTTTATGTTTGGTTCAATTGAAGGTTGTTTTAGTGTTTGAGAATTGGCTCCAGTGGTTTTCCTTTTTTTGTGTGGGGATTTGTTTGAACAAACACCCTGACCCCTCTGATAACGGTTATATTGACTTATACGTTCACACACAAACAGACACACACACACACACACAACACAGTCTTGTTTCACTTGAACAGACATTACATTGAGTTGATTTAATTTCATGGATAGTAAACCTAAGCCTAACCTGATCAGAACCACTACTTTAGCTCACACTTTATCCTTACCTTGGAGCATCTCTTCAACCTTAAATTGAATGATTCACATCTTGGCACCTTGGGTGCATTTTGTCCATATAAGGCTGCCCTAAAGTAAGACTGATTATTGTCTCCACAAGTTTTATGAAAAAAACTAAAGGTTTAAAACAAAACCTGAAAATCAACCTTAACTGACTGTAGATCCGTTGACCATCTATGACACCCTCTACTGTTCCAACTAACACATTGTCCTGATTTTCAAAACTGTATGCTGCTTCTATGTAATGATGGCTTCTGTGCGTTGGGAGGAGGAAAAACTGATATGGCTTGTTTTGATGCACGGTTTCTGTCTTCTTCCTTTTACTTATTTTTGAGAACTCTTATACAGATAGTCATTTGGTTAGAAAGCATATTATTTATCCACATCACTGCCACAGTTTTTCCGGCTAGTGCTCCTGCAAGCTTGTGCACATATAAGGCACCTTACTTATTATGCTTCTGTTAATAAATAATAAAATGTCTTTTAAACTACCCATTAACTCAAAAGGAGACTATTTAATTAGCCCGAAGTGCAAAGCATGTTCCCTCAATTTAAAAACAGGTAACTGAAGCATAGAAAGTCAGAGAAGCATGAAACTTAGTATACGTATGTCTGACGCAATAGTAGGATGTGAATCAGACAGTAGAGGAATTACTGCAGTTAATATGTCATCACTGTTTAATTCATATGTCCTGCATGGATTAAACGTCATCATGATAAAAATAAACACTCCTTAATGAACTGTACCATTCCTAGGAAAAAAAGAAAGAGAGATAAAAGTAAGAAGCACTAACTGTCTTCTCTCTGCTCTGGAAAGACAGAGGCTGTTATCAGGTCTGTCTTTGTTCAGATGTGAGAATGTCACTAAACTCCTGGAGCAGGATGTTCTTGCTCAGCTGTAAAAATAAAAAAATACTGTAAAAGCTGAGCCGTCAGTCGTGTTAAAAGGGCTATTGTATGAGTGGGTGTGTCTGTGTTTGACTGAGAGAAAGGAGAGAGAAAGTAAATAGTCACAAAAGATATCCTGGGTAATTTTTGTTTGCTTTTTTATTCAGACCACAAAG